GGAGGGGGTGAGGGAGGGGAGGGTGGGGTTGTTCAGTAGGGGGCAGAGGTTTGAGTTTGAGGCGAGGGTGAGGGGGGAGGCTGAGGAGTGGACGAGGAGGGAGCAGGAGAGGAAGAAGGTGGGGGTGGACAAGGAGAAGGAGAGTGAAATGGAGAAAGGGTTGGGTGGGTTGGATACGACGAGAACGACAGCGGCGAGGAACAAGGCGAGGGCGTTGATCAGGAGCAGGTTGAGGAGGACGAATAGGTTGGTTGACCCGGTGATATATGTTTAGAGCCTTTCAAACCTGGCTGATCGACAGAAGCGAAGCCGCTGTGGCGAGAATTTGGCTGTCGGACTGCCCTCTCACATACACATACACACACACGCACATATTCGGCACGACCGTTTCTCAGGGTCCAAAAAGCATTTCCGTTCCATCATCCCGATCCACATCACCAAAACGAGCTGCCGCCCTGAGGCTTCAAGTCGAACAGCACAAATTCGGCGTCCTTCCCACCTTCGCTCTTGATCTCGATAGCATCACCCGCCTTGCCACCCTTGATGTACGCACCATCGCCTTCCTTGAGCGTATACTGGTTGTGCTTACCATCGCTGAAGGTGATGGCGGCTTCGTTCTTGATGCCCATGTCTGGGAAGTCGGGGTCCTTGTAGCCGGAGGTTTGGGCGAGGTGGATGTAGCACCAACGTTCGGAGCCGGAATCTGCGGCGGAGTCTGCGCCGAGGATGTGCGTGACGCTGGAGCCGGGGGTGAGGATCGAGGTGCGCGTGACGAGCGTCGAGTGGGAAGGGATGGGGGAACCGGCTGGTAGCAACCCGGTCTTCTCAGCTTCAGCGGGAGAGAAGGTCGAGATGGGTTTGATGAGCGTCTTGAGCGTGTTTCGCTTCATCTCGTCGGTAGCCGAGGTTGTGTAGTATCTCGGCTTCAAACCGCTGACATCGGGGGTGTACCAGATCTGGAGGAAGTGGCAGGTGTCCTTACCGCCGTTCTTCTCGCTGTGACGGATCCCCGTTCCGGCCGAGGTGAACTGCACATCGCCGCGGCGGAGGATCTCGGTGTTGCCCATGCTATCCTTGTGCTCGAGCGACCCCTTGAGCACGACGGAGAAGATCTCGGCTTCGCGGTGCGGGTGGGCGCCGAAACCGGTTCCGGAGGCAACGCGGTCTTCGTTGATCACGCGAAGGTTGGAGAACGACATGTGGTCCGGGTCATAGTACGAGGCGAAGGAGAAGGTGTGGAAGGTCTTGAGCCAGCCGTGATCGGCGTGCCCGCGAGCGTGCCATCTGCGTGGGGTCACTTGGAGCTTGGCCGCTTTCACCGCTGCGCTTGACGTCATGTTGTCCGTTGCGATGGTCGCGGAAGAGGGAGACGAAAGTGGAGATGAATGTGGACGGAGGGTGTAGTAGAAGAGTGTGGCTGCTAGGACCAATACGCTGAGCAAGAGGATGTTGATGCGTGGAAAAGCAGACGACTGTGGCTGTGGTTGTGCGGATGCTTTCTGGGTAACTTCTGACATAGAAGGTTGTTGCCAGAGACAGTTACTTTTATATGTACACCGTTGGAATGTATGGTGGTGGAGGAAGCCACCAAACAATCGACGCTCTGTGCGTTTCTCCGCCCTCAAATCCCGCGTACGACGGGTTTAGACGCGCTTAAAATCCGAACCGACGCAGTGCCGGGATTTATTGAGAGAAATCGAGTGTGAGATTTTTTGTCCTGTGCCTGCTCGACTCGACGGCGATATCGCGGTTTAGATCGAGGATTCAAGGCGACGCTAGCTTCGAGACGTTATGGTGTGTGCATCTACCAGCGACGAGCACCTTCCGGTATCTTCTTGAACAATCTAGGAAGCTTCATGGCTTCAAACTTCTGTCTCGTTCTACCAACTCGTATCAGCGACCAAACGTCTGTCTCGCCTGACCGCTTTGCTAGCTCAGACCTCTCACACAGGCGTGTCCACGATCAACAGTTTGTCGAATAGAAATACACTGATGCGCACCTATACTTGGCATCCTCCGCCTCACGCAGCAACCATCCTACCTCCCGCTCCCACCGCTCTTCCTCCCACCTTGCCCTTCTTCCCCCTGGCACCCCGCTCACCCGCATTCTCCTTATCCGCCTCCACCTCGCCCGCCGTCGTCCTGTTCGCATTCACCGTCCTCTCCACCAAACTAGTGCCATCCCTAAACCTCGCTCTGAACAGCACGTTCGCATTCGTAAACAGTCCTTCCTTCAACGAGACAACGATAAACTGACTGCCCCTGAACCTGCTTCTGAACAGCTGACCGATGTGTTGCGTGTGGCTCAGATCCAACGCCGCATCGATCTCGTCCAAGATGTACATCGGAGCCGGCTTGAACTGCAGCAGACTCATGATCAGACTGAGCGCGATCAAACTCCTCTGTCCACCGGACAGCTCTGTCAAGCTCTGCTTCCATACCGTCCCAAGACGAACCTTGACTTCCAATCCCTGTGTCAAGTCTTGGTTCTCCGGTGGTTGGAGCTTCGCATAGTTGCCCGGCAAGAGCTCGCCGAAGATCGATCCAAAGTCCGTGTTGACCTTCTCCCACGTGTTCTGAAGCGCATCGCGTTTGTACCGGTCGAGCTCGGTGATGGTATCCTCGATCTTGTCCTTGTCCTTCAGCACCGTCGAAAGCATGGTCTTGAGCGTCGACTCCTTCTTCTCCACACCTTCGATCATCGAGAGCACCTTGGGGTTCACCTTCTTGCGCATCCCTTGCTGCGTCTCCTCGAGCTTCTTGCAGCGTTTGCGTACCTCGCTCATGTTGTGCTTGCCGAAATCGTACACGGTTCCGGCTTGACCGAAGAAGCGCTGTTCGCTCTGGATCCATTCGAACTGGTTTTCGAGCTGCTGGATCTGCTTCTCGTAGCCCGCAACATCGCCCGTGAGCTTCTCGCGGTCGTGCGTCAGCTGCTTGATCGCAAGCGCACCGTCCGCGATCTCCTGCTTCTTCGACTTGAGAGCATTGCGCAGCGCAGCCAGATCGTCGTCGTAGCCCGATAGCGTAGCACGCTCCTCGACCAACTTGGACTCCACCTTGTCCACATCCGCCTGCAGCTCCTCCAGCTTGGCCTGCATATCGCCGAGTTCGGCTTCCACCTTCTTGATCGCGCGTTCGCCCTCCTTGATCGTCTTCTCGCACGCCGTGATCTCGACACGCGTCTGCTCCAGCTCCAGCTCCAACGTACGCACCTCACCCTGACGTGCCTTGATGTCTACGCTACGCTTCTGCACCTCGGCCTTCTTGCGTTTGATCTCGGCTTTGAGCTGGTCCAGCTTCGAGTCCTTGTTCTTGTCGAACTCCTCCATCTCCTTTTCGAGTCGCTTGGCTTCCTTGCCCGCGTCTTGCTGGCGCTGCTTGGCTGCGTTGATGGCTTCCTTGAGCTCGGCGATCGATGCTTTCGCCTTCTCGACCTCACCAATGATGCGCGTTGCGTTCGAGCCGCTGATCTGCGACTCGAGCAGAGTCACCTGATGACGCTTCAGGTCGAGGTCGCGCTTAGCCTTGGAGAACGACGCCATCTGTGCTTTCGAGGACTGGATCTCGAACTCCACCTTGCCGAGCTCGATCTTGGCGTCCTTGAGCGCCCGGTCGATCTTGATGAGGTCCTGCATCTTGATCAGCACGTTGCCCGAGTTGGGCTTGGATCCTCCCGAAAGCGTACCTGCAGGATCGTAGACATCGCCATCGAGCGTCACCGACTTCATGCGCACCGCATTGTCAAACGTCACCCGCTTCGCTGTGGCTGCGTCGGCGCAGATCAGCGTGTTGCCGAACACGTACTCCATGGCGCGACTCACGTCGTCATCGTAGCCCACCAGCGTCAGCGCCAGATCCACCTTACCAGGTGCGAGCTTCTGCGCCGCACCCACCTTCTCTGCAGCGGCGACAAAGGCGTTGATCTTGTTGAGCGGGATCAAGGTGACACGCTTCTTGAGCTGACCATTGGCGAGCAGCTTGGAGCCCACCTTTTCGTCTTCGACGACGACGTTGTAGAGTCGGCCACCAGCGCAGATCTCGAGCGCCGTCGAGTATTTGTGCTTGTCCTGATCGAGCTGGATGAGCGATGCCACCAAACCCTTGACGCGCGATCGATCAAAGTTGGGCTCGGGATCCGAGTATTGGAAGTCCATCCCGGCCAGCTTGGACTTGAGCGCCTCTTTGCGTTCGACAAGGTCCGCGACACGTCGGCTCCATTCGGCCTTGGACTGGAGCAGTGACTTTTCCTTTTCGTCGTCCCAGCCGAGCTTCTGCATGTGCGCTTCGAGCTGCTCCACAGCGCCGCGTGACGACTCGAGCTCGCCCATGAGTCCGGCCGCGTCCTTCTGCGCTTTCTTGGCGAGCGGTTCCTTTTGCTTGACTTCCTTTTCGAGATGTCCGATGCGCAGCTTGGACTGCTCGATCTCGGTGCTCGCGGCCGTCTCTTCGGCACGGGCTGAGGCGATTTGACCCATGTAGCCGCCCGCCGAGCTTTCGCCTCCCTTCGACTTGGAGGACGACGCCATGCCGGTGAGCAAGGTCTGCAGAAGCTCGTCCTGTTTGTTGACATCGGCGACGGCGCCGTCGTAGTCGGCCTTGAGCTCGGAGAAGGAGCCAGAGAGCTCGACGAGCTGCTCCTCCTTCTCGCTAAGCGTCTGGTGCAACGCCTCGAGCGAAGCCTGGTCTGCCTGGAGCTTCTTGCGCTCCTCTTCGACCGAGCCCATCTTGAGATCAACGTTGGTTTTGCGCTTTACGAGATCGTGCTGGAGCTCCTTGCTCTTGTTGACGAGCGCCTGGAGCTTGCCGCCCTTGGTCATCTCGGCCTCCTTCTTCTTTTCGATCTGGGCGAGCTCCTTTTCGATGCTCTCGATCTGTCGCTTGAGCGCCTTCGCCTCGTCTTCGCGTTCCTGCACGTCCTGCGATTTCTGGTCGACGAGCGCCTTCCTCTCCTCGTACTTGGCGCAGCACTGCTGCCATTCGTACGCTTTCGCCAGACGCGTGAGGCGGTCGAGTTCTGTGCTGGCCTTCTGATATTCGAGGAAGGAACGCTTCTCCTCTCTGAGCTTGTCGAGCTTGGGTGTGATCTCTTCCTCGAGCAAGGCGGTGATCTCCTTGACCTTTTGGTCCTTCTTGGACATGGTCTTGATGGCCTTGTCCTTGCGGTCCTCGAACATGCGCGTACCTGCCGCTTCTTCGATCATGGAGAGGATCTCTGCTGGCTTCATGTTGAGCACCTTTGTGATCTTTCCCTGCATGATGAGGAAGTTGGGGTTGTTGATGTTGAGCTGCACGCTCTGGAACATGTTTTGCACCGCCTGCTGGGTGGCCTTGTGGCCGTTGATGAGGTACTTGCTTAGACCGCCCATGGCGATCTGACGTGTGACGGTGATTTGAGGGCAATTCTCAAACGAGACGGGAGACTTGGCGCGATCCGTGTTGTCGAACACGATGGTGACCGAGGCTTTGGTGATACCTGCCTGGCCTCGCTTGTAGATGAGATCCTGTAGGTTGTTTGCTCGGACAGCAGTGAGGTTGGTGATGCCGAGCACGAAGCAGATGGAATCGAGAATGTTGGATTTGCCAGAACCGTTGAGACCGGTGATGGCGTTGAAGGACGCATCGAAGCCGGACACGTGCGTTCGCACGGGGTACGACTTGAAGCCGTCGATGATGAGTTCCTCGATGCGCATGTTTGCCTATTGAGGTGTGAGCGGAAACCTGATCGCAAGGATGTGATGTGGGCAAACGCGTGGCCGCGATCGTTGACCGGCGTTGGACAGGGCTGCCGGATTGCCAGTACGGGCTGCTATGCCGAGCTCTTGGGATGAACGAGTCTGAGTCTGTCGGCAGTGCAGTGGTTGAGAAAAGGAATTCTGCGGTCTCTTGATGTCGAGCCTAAGCAATTCTCGAAGTCATGTTCGTGCCACTGCTGGGATTGATGTTGGTAGAGGAGATGATCACTGCAGATGATTGGAGGAAGGCAAGATCCGTCGCTGTCGCTGTAGCGATCTGAGAGCATACAGAGAGTGTTGATCTGCTGTGTTGCTCTCGACCCAATATTTTTTGCTGAGCGCGCGTCCTCAGCCAGGTGTCGGGACAGCCGAGTTAGAGCGACCCTCGCCCGGACAGACCAACACACACGACTGTCAACGCGCTCTTTTCCCACTTGGAATGGCTTCCGCTGCTGCTCAGCTTTCCCTGTGGGCTGCTCACCGTCCATACGCGTCACAGCGGCACAAGGAAGCTCAATTTTAGCTGAGTGTTTATTTTGCGTCACGTGAGGCGGCCCTGTTTTTGGCCGACCTAACATCGCTTTTCAGCGGATGTTTCACCCATATATGGTTGCTTGGTCAAACACCGCCGACTGTGCCAGTGAGGAGCATGCTGATGTCGTGTTGATTGCTGTCTATAGCCGAAACGTACCGACAGCCTGCTGGATGCCGTCGTAGATGACCGTGTTGTCCGCTGGAATGTACTGCTTGGTGATCAGCTTGATCGCCTCCTGCGCTACCACGCCTCCCATCAAGGCTGTCGTCGGAGGCAAGCTTGCATCACCCGATCGCACCAGCTCGCCGACACTCTGTTCGATCCTTTCCCACTCGTCGCCGTCCTCCGAGAGGCCGAACTTGGTTGTGGCCATCGTCTTTGCCAACGCTAGCAGCTCGGCTTCGTCCTTGGACGTGTCGTGGCCCGTTGTCAGGTCGCGCATCTTGACATCCGCCACACTCGCGTCGAGCTCGCCCGTCGGTGTTTCCGACTTTTGTCGCTTCGCTGCACGGTGCTGATCGTCAGCTGACGTAGTCGCCTCCAATCCGTTTGCGTCCACGAAAGTCGTCGGCACAGCTGCGATGGACGACGAGGACGAAACCTGCGCAACACCGGGATAGCGTCCGTGCTGCTCTAGGAATTCGTCCGCTGCTGCAAGAGCAATGTGATGTTGAAACGTGCACGGGTTGACGGGATCCATGAACGCCAGCATGGCGGTCTCTTGATTGGGTGCTTGACTCCTCTGCCTCTCGCTGCGACCGCGGATCAATTTGAGATAGCCGGCGTGTTTGACGAACGCCTCGATCTCATCATCGGCGATTGTACCTTGGACACCTGCTGCTCTGCAGGTCTCCGCCACTAGCTGCTTGAATTGCGCCAGATCTTGCAGAGATTTGCTTCTGTATGTGTTCTGCAGCTTGATGTAGCCAGACGATGTGGCCTTCATGTCGGGTATCGATCCCGACAAGGGCAGAGACTTGGTCGGTGACGTCGCTACAAACTCGCGCAATGCACGAACCAGGATCCAAAAGTTGGTCGAGGCTGGTGTGACATTTGAGCATGCAGCATCTTCGAACATGGCTTCTACCTCGTCGGGTACGCCACCTCCTCCAGCTCCCTTGGAGGCGAGCGGCCGCCACAGATGCTTGCCCAAGGCGGACACCGCCTCATCGAAGTTTTCCGCGTCCAGATTGCCCGCGAGTCGAGATGCGTTGATCAGCTTGACGAAAGCGTCGCGGTCCTTGGATGCCGGCAGCTGGCCATCGTGTGTTGACCGCCACTCGGCCAGCTTCTTGATCAGGATGACGGGAAAAGGGATATGACTGTGCTCCATCGTATCGCTTGTGTTGAGATCAAATTGCTGCGCTAGCTCGAGTAGTTCTGGGAATGGCCGTGTGATTCTCAGATCAAGTACGCTGTCGGGATGCGTTTCGATGATGCCAAGTTCCTTGAGGCTAATTTGCATCTCAGCCAGCATGCCAGCGCTACGCACTCGAAGCAAAGGGATCTGTGGCGATGGAGGCTGCAGCGCCCACAATGTATCGGAGAGCGCCATGTCGAAGGACCTCGACTGGTTGACCGAGATGACGAGTGTAAAGGCGGCAAAGAAGCCTGGATCCGTTTGCAGCAACGTGGCGGGATCCTCGAGCTTGGCTTCTGACGCGACACTGGTGTTCATGTCTGTGAGCAGACGACACATCTCCTCTGCGGCGTACTTTCCTTCGCTCTCGCCAGGCTGCAGGAAGAAGTTGACGCCGAGGTCTGCAGCATCGACGATAGAATCATCGAGCAGCACAAACGAGCCGATGCCTGGAAGCACCAAGTTCTTGAGGATTTGAGCTGACAATGCCGAGGCTCCAATCACGAGGATACGAGACTTTTCTAGCGAAGACTGTCCTGAAGACGCCCATAGCCGCAATTGACGATCGTATCGCTGGGTATGCGCCGAGGGTCGCTGGCTTGTGATTTGCGAGTCCGAGGCCGGAAGTGGGTCTACGCCAATGCTCGACATCTTGTGAGCGACTGCCCTGCGACGATGACGAGTTGCAAGACAGAGGAACTAGCAGCGAGATCGGAACTGCAGCGAGCGATGCCGAATCGAGAGGATGTCAGGGCGAGGCTGTCGGTGGAAGAAGAGATTGCGGCGTGCGAGCATCCTTTTCGAGGTGGAGGTTCATCTCGGGGACTGCGCTTTTTGGCACAGGCCACCGCGGAACTGTCGCGCAGGGTGTGCCTCTCCGCCAAGTTTGACACGCGACCGAGCCGGAAAATGCAACACGCACCCAAAGCAGGAAGAAAAGTGTTGGTCTCCTCCTCTGACCAAACCGCTTTTCACCATCGGCCTGCGCTACCACCACGCTTCGGAAGCGCTCAGCGCTGCGACAATGTCAACGAGCACCCAGCAGGATGGCATCGCGCTCAGTGCAGCAACGAGATCCAGCGCAGGCTCGGCCGCTACCGAAAGTCGCAAGGTGTCGTTCCAACAACCATCCGCGACCGTCCCGAGCAGGTCTTCGACATCCGCACATCTTTCAGCTTCCAGCACATCGAGGACGGCAAACTCATCAATTAGCTCGCAGAACTACACAACTGCATACACAGGAGCGACCCGACGTCATTCTCTGTTCGGCACCGAGGACAGAGTCATCCTTGACATCGGCAGCAGGTACTCCAAGTTTGGGTTCAGCGGCGAACCTCGCCCGCGTGTCATCGTGCCGTCCGTCAGCTTCTCCCAGCCGTCTACCTCCTATCTGCATCTCGATACATCATCAACGCAAACTGATGCGCATAACGTTGGCGAAGCACTTTGGGATCTGGACTTTGAGCGATGTGCCGATGACCAGCTGCGTCGAGGCAAACGGGCCCTTGTGCTTGCGCAGCTCACGCAACTCCTACGCAACGCTTTCACCCAGCATCTCATGGTCGATCCGAAGCAGAGGAAAGTGCTTGTAGTCGAGCATCCGATGCTGCCGACCTCGATCAAGGAGTTGATCTTTTTGGTGCTGTTCAACAACCTTCAGGTGCCGTCGGTGGCATTCGTGCCCTCACCTTTGCTGAGCTTGCTAGCCGTGGGTCGAATCACAGGCCTCGTCCTCGAGAGTGGATACCTCGAGTCGACTCTGACGCCAGTATACTACGGGAGGCCGATGACGAGCCATGTTGCATCGACAACTCGGGCGGGCAAGCGGCTCAATGCGAGACTCAGGCATCTGCTTTTGCGGCATGGCAGATTTGTTGCCGCACAAGCTAGTCTGCAAGACTCATCAAAATCGCTGCGAGAGCGAACGCATACCATCGATCCATCGCTGTTGACGGACGACCGGTTGGAGCAGATCAAGGCGAAGGCGCTGTTCGTCAGCTCTTACGATCCTGATCTCAGTGGTCTGGAAGATCTCTTCTCTGACCTCGAAGTCGAATCAGCCGAATCACGCCAAGGACTGGAAGCGCTGCAGGCAGAGTCGGCTGCTTCAACCCGCCAGCGATACTCCTCTATCTCGACTGCCACGCCATTCACTTTTGCAGTGACGCCCGACTCGGTCGATCCGAACGGCACCGCTTCGGTCATCCAGAGCATATCGGCTCCTCCGAGCTCGACCTCTTCTACTCTTTCGGGCGCATCTCGAGGGGCGCAAGCATCTGGCGTCATCGCCATACCAGGTTGGGTTCGTGAGCGAGCGGCAGAGCTTCTCTTCGAATCGGGCAATGACGACGATCCCGGTTTAATCGATACGACCGTCAGAGCCATCTCGAAGCTGCCGATCGATCTGCGCCGAGTCATGTGCGAAAACGTCCTTGTCTCGGGTGGGACGGCCATGCTTCCCGGCTTCGCGAATCGATTCAGAACGCAGCTGGCGATGGCGATCGAGAAAGCAGAGCAGCCGGGAGGCACGTTGTCGATTGACAAGCACGTCAGCTATCGTAGCAAAGCGAATGGTGAGGTGAAGTACTCAGTGGAGCGGTCGAGTCTTCATGGCTCAGTGGCAGTGATGAACGATCCCTGGCCTGACACATCACGAACAGAGCAGGGGAACGGCACCGGTGGTAGCAACCAGACGAATCAAGGCGGATCTGCGCCAGCGTTCGCAGCGAATCTCTTACCTTGGATGGGAGCATCGCTAGCAGGCGCATTGAAGACGACGCCTCTCAACGCCGTCACGCGCGAAGCATACGACGAAGCCACGAAAGCAACTCAGGACGAAGCAGGATCGGAGGTGACGGAGAAGCAAGACGAGAAAGACAAGCAGCAGCCACAGAGACCGGCGCTGACGGGAGCCAGCAAGCGAGGCTCCTTCGTGGGTGTCGTAGGTGGGCTGGAGACGGGCGCCTACGGTGGACTGGCAGCGGTGAGCCGACATTTGATCGGAGTGCCAGGTGCGAGCGCAAGCAGTGCAAGTCCGACGAAAATGTCGAGTGCCGACGCTTTGGCTGACAGCGAGGCGGATTGAGTGCGCACTGCAACTGAAGAAATGTCATATGCGTCTCGTCTGACAATGCTGCTGAGAAGAATCTGGATCGGTGTCGTACGTCGGTATGTGCGTGTGAGAAAATTGGATGATGTTGATGCAGATATGAAGCTTAGATTTCGAGGTCGCCCTTACCCCGACAAACTTGCTGGACGAACAGTCTGACGAGCTGGCGTAAGTCGGGGCGAGGGGCCGATGCTGATGTTACAAAGTGGTGTGTGGAGTCATCGAGTGTGACGAGAAGGTTTTGAGGTTCGAACAGTGTATCTACTCGGTGATCTTGGCGAGGATCTCGGAGTCGCGGATGAGGAGGTACTCGTCTTCACCGACCTTGATCGAGTTGCCGCCCCAGCTGGGGAGGAGGACCTTGTCGCCGGACTTGACCGAGGTAGGAACCACCTTGCCGTCCTTGTCGGGAGCACCAGGGCCAGTGGCGATGACGCTAGCCTCAGGAAGCGGGGAGGACGAGGCAGAGGAGGGGATGAAGAGACCCGAGGAGGTCTTGGTCTCGGGCTTGAATCGCTGCACCAGGACGCGGTCGAGCAGAGGCACGACCGACTTGATCGATCGGATGGTGGATTGAGTGGCCTGTTGCGCAGTTTCGCAGGCAAAAGTGTCGGCAGAGAGTGTGGCGTTCAAGAGTGGGAACCGCGTCGGATGGTGCGATGATCGGGACAAGCGAAAGAAGGCAATTGGGATGTCAGCAAATGTGACTTGAACGGAGGCGAGGTGAGTGGCATTCGTCGTAAGGACCGATAAAAGGGCAGAACCAGCAGCTACGGCCACCCTCCATGGAGCGTATACGTACCATTTTGGGTGATGCGATGTGAGTTGCTTCGACGAAGGTAGTGATCGATGGTGGGGAAGAACTAGAATGACGGTGAGCAACTTTTACGAATGGAAAACAGCAATCTGGAAGAAGCGAGCCTGTGCCTCACACTCTCGCCTTGAAAATCAAACTCGGAACACGGGCTCAATCGCTTCCCGGCTTCTCTTGCTCTGACGACTGTCACCCAGACGAATCGTTTGTAGACACGACATTACTCGCAAAGCTCAACATCCCATCTACACGTCGTCCACTTCTCACTGTTGAGTTGTTTGCAGCCATGACACCGGCAGTCCAATCAAGATCTCAAAGTCAGAGGACATTAGAGAGTGAATGTCGTCGGCCTGGAAGCTTCGAGAGCGTATTTTTTCAAGAAGAAACATGGCCATCTGTGACTCTACGCTAAGCCCGGCGGAGACTGTGTGGAGAAGGCCAGCCAAAAAACAGAATCGGGCAAAACCGTGATCCGGTTGGTTGGACTTTTCTGTGGCTCAGCAGCACTTCATTGAGTAATCCAATCTGTGCTCGGGCAAAAGCCGGCCAAAAAAAAATAGATCTTTAAATTCCAAAAAGAAGCTTGAGGAACAAAGCCGAAAAAATCGAGCCGGTATAGAGACAGGCTCAGACAGCGCAAGTCGAAGCCGGTGGATGTTGTCGCCCTCGTGCCGCGTTAACCATGAGTGTTCGCTCGAAGATGCCTTCAGGTTCGGCTCGATCCGACGTCGAAGCCTTCTGTGTCTCTGGAAAGGTGGAAGGTTGAGCTAAGAAGAGATTGATATAGCAAGCAACGAGCAGTGGAGGACGTAGCTCACAAAAAATTTAAAGATCATTTTGGCTGATCGGCTAACGTCGCCGTGTGCTGCCCGTTGGAAAAGTGTCAGAATCCGAGCCAAGTGCCAATCAGATGGCCGTTTCTTCTTGCACAGAAAGGCACAAAGCCGGAGCGACTGTGTGCTGTGTGATTTGTTCTTCTTCTGAGAAGTCAAAGACTGGAGTGTCATATTCTGGACCGAGCTCAGTTCAGTCTTGTCCTTCGCACACCAACTCTCCTTTCTCTCGTCCTCCTCCTCGTCACTTTTGCTTCTTCATCTTCGACTATTGCACAGTCGACGACGACGCTTCATTGGAGGATCTTGTTTCGCACTTCTATTCTCTTCCTCACATCCTTTCGCCGCCAAAATGTCTCTTCTCCGTAACGCCGCTACCCCGGCTCGCAAGGCCGCCTCCAACCAGGGCCGCAGCTTCTCCACCTCGCTCGTCGCAAATGCCCACAAGGAGGTCAAGTTCAGCAACGATGGCCGTGCTGCCATGCTCAACGGTGTCAACCTCCTCGCCAACGCCGTCTCCGTCACCCTCGGTCCCAAGGGTCGCAACGTCATCATCGAGCAGCCGTTCGGTGGTCCCAAGATCACCAAGGACGGTGTCACCGTAGCCAAGTCCATCACCCTCAAGGACAAGTTCGAGAACCTCGGTGCTCGTCTCGTCCAGGACGTCGCCAACAAGACCAACGAGATCGCCGGTGACGGTACCACCACCGCCACTGTCCTCGCTCGTGCCATCTACGCAGAGGGTGTCAAGAACGTCGCTGCTGGTTGCAACCCCATGGACCTCCGACGTGGTGTCCAGGCCGGTGTCGACGCCGTCATCAAGTTCCTCGAGACCAACAAGCGCGCCGTCACCACCTCTGCTGAGATTGCACAGGTCGCCACCATCTCGGCTAACGGCGACCACCACGTCGGTCAGCTCATCGCCACCGCCATGGAGAAGGTCGGCAAGGAGGGTGTCATCACCGTCAAGGAGGGCAAGACCCTCGAGGACGAGATCGAGATCACCGAAGGTATGCGCTTCGACCGTGGCTACATCTCGCCCTACTTTATCACCGACGTCAAGACCGCCAAGGTCGAGTTCGAGAAGCCCCTCATCCTGCTGTCCGAGAAGAAGATCTCGGCTCTCCAGGACATCCTCCCCTCGCTCGAGGCCGCCGCACAGGCCCGCCGCCCTCTTCTCATCATCGCCGAGGACATTGACGGCGAGGCTCTCGCTGCCTGCATCCTCAACAAGCTCCGCGGCCAGCTCCAGGTCGCTGCTGTCAAGGCGCCCGGCTTTGGTGACAACCGCAAGAGCATCCTCGGTGACCTCGGCATCCTCACCGGCGCCCAGGTCTTCTCCGACGAGCTCGAGACCAAGCTCGACCGTGCTTCTCCTGAGATGCTCGGCACCACCGGCGCTGTCACCATCACCAAGGAGGACACCATCTTCCTCAACGGCGAGGGCGACAAGGACCGCCTCGCACAGCGATGCGAGCAGATCCGTGCCGCCATCAACGACACAACCACCTCCGAGTACGACCGCACCAAGCTCCAGGAGCGCCTCGCCAAGCTCTCGGGCGGTGTCGCCGTCATCAAGGTCGGCGGTTCCTCCGAGGTCGAGGTGGGCGAGAAGAAGGACCGATACGACGACGCTCTCAACGCCACGCGTGCTGCCGTCGAGGCCGGTGTGCTGCCAGGTGGTGGTGTTGCGCTGCTCAAGGCTTCGCTCTCGCTCAACGAGGTCAAGACCGCCAACTTTGACCAGCAGCTCGGTCTTTCGATGCTCAAGGCCGCCCTTACCCGTCCCGCACGCACCATTGTCGAGAACGCCGGCGAGGAAGGCTCCGTCGTCGTCGGCCGTCTGCTCGAGAAGCCCGGTGACTTCACCTACGGTTACGATGCCAGCGTCGGCGAGTACAAGGACATGATCGCTGCCGGTATCTTGGATCCCTTGAAGGTGGTTAAGACAGCGTTGCAGGATGCTTCCGGTGTCGCTTCGTTGCTCACCACGTCCGAGTGCTGCATCGTCGAGGCTCCTGAAGAGAAGGGCCCCGCGGGCGGTATGGGCGGCATGGGTGGAATGGGCGGAATGGGTGGCATGGGCGGCATGGGTTTCTAAACAGCTCGGCCGTCTAACGTCTAAAAAAAGAGACGTAGGAACGTCTTACAAGCATCGATCGCATCTTTCTTCCATCGTTGGTTCACTCCCCTTTTGCCGAACCTTCTTCTAACCATATTCTGTGTATTACCAATAGTATTCCCTCTTTCTTTCAGAAACTTTGTGTCCGGCATTGGCATCACCACTCGAATCATCGCTCGTTTCTGTGTGTGTGTGGACGGAAGTGAATAGTGTGGGGTTCTTCATGAAGAAGGGGATGGGGGATTGGGTTGACGATTTTGGAGCCAGAGTTTGGCGCGTGCGAGTCGTTCTGCTTGTTTTTGCTTTTTGACTGCGAGTGTATCGGCGGTGGCAGTGGTTGTGGTGCTATCGTTTGGATGATCGGTTGGAGAGGTTTGTTGGTTGGTGGATTCGGTGTCGCTATCGGTGTCGTCGTAGGTGACGAGAGGTGCACCGGTGATGAAGTTTGCGGGGACTTTCTGCGAGATGCGGCAGGCAGATTCGTAAGTCATCTCGCCTTTGGTGGTCTTTAGCTGTTCCCATATGGCGTTCCAGTGGAGATTGCGGGTTTTGTGGAGGAAGGAGAAGCGTTCGTCGCTAGCGTGGTTGGTGAGGATCTTCAGCTCGAGCTGCGAGGCGTTGCTGGACGAAGCGACGATTCTGGCTGTCTTTTGCATCAGCTCGAATTGACTTCGACTCAGCTTCAGTTCTTCCTCGATGGTAGCTTCGTGATGTAAGGGTGGTGAAGGTGATACGGAAGACAGGTTTGCCAGGCGTGTCGCACGTTGGGCTTCCAACGCCGATCTTGCTTTGTCATGCTTGAACTGGTCCGCTTCGACATCCGTCATGTAGAACATGTCTTCGGTATCACTGTCGAGATCTGACCACCCGACGTCCTCCATCGGAAGTACTGTTGAGCCCGTGTGCGGAGGTTTTGGTGGTAGTTCGGAGAGCAAGTGGACGGCATCGTATCGATCGGTGGTGACGGTCTGTTTGCCGCAGCTGCTCGTCCACGTCACGAGTCTTGCCCCACGATTGTCGGAAGACCCATCAGGTGCAACTTGAAGCGTTCGCTTGAGAACAGCGTCGTGATTGAGGGTGATCTCGTACGAAGTCGGATATAGCTCGTCCGGTAAGGAGGAAGAACGGTTGGTGGAAGAGGGGGCGAAGATGTGTGCTGATGAAGAAGAGGTGAAGATGTCGGGGAGATCCGGTTCTGCGAAGCGCCTCTTCTTTGCTTCCCTTCGACTCATGATGTCGGTGCATGTGCGATGGTATACATTGTGAGTGGAGATGGGGCAGCTGGGCGAGGCCAAGAAGAGGTAGGAATGTGGGAGGAGGGGAAAGAAGCAACATTGGACCCTAAAACAGCAAAGGAAAACTCCACCTCCGAATCCCGAAATGTCCAAAACGTCAAAGAACAGACCATCCTTGCGCATTCGATATGGATCACATCCACGACCCTACAGAGCACTACAGAATAACTCTACCAACTTGCGGCAACTTTGGCGCTCGAAACCGGAGATAAAGATTACCAATCAAATCCAGTGCTGACTTAGAACAGGTCTAGTCAAGGGGAGGAGCAAGCGAGCGAGCAGCAGCTCAACATAGATCCAGCATGTCTGACTTTTACGTCCGATACTAGTAAGCAGGCCATTCCGAGCACGTCTGCTCTACGACCAACGGAAGATACACGAAGAGCATGTTGTGTACTGACAGAATACTTTGATGATCACCTCTGCAGCACCGGACATCAGGGGAGACATGGCCATGAGTTTCTTGAATTCGAATACTCACGAGGTCGATTGCGCTATGCCAACAACTCGAACTATCGCAACGACAGCCTGATTCGCAAAGAGAGTATGTATCCAAAGAAGCGCTCTCCCTTCTTTTTTCCTGCCGTCTGGAACGCTGTACTGACCGCTGCATCCCACCTTCACTCTCCGGGGTACCCGTTCTGACAGTGTGGATTAGCCCTCTCATGGTCGACGAACTACGCCGCATCGTAGAGGAATCCGAGATTATGCGGGAAGACGACGCCAAATGGCCCAAGAAGAACTCAACTGGTCGTCAGGAACTTGAAGTGAGGTTGGGCAAAGAGCACATTTCGTTCGAGGTAAGTTTGAGTCCCCTGAGCCTTTTCTTTCACCACACAATCAGTCAGCTAAATAATGACCCCTCTCTTTTGCATGCTGGTTTCTGATATAGACGGCAAAAATCGGCTCACTAGTGGACGTACAAGATAGCGAAGATCCGGATGGATTGAGGGTGATGTACTATCTGGTGCAGGATCTCAAGTGTCTGATCTTCAGCTTGATCTCGCTGCACTTCAAGATCAAGCCGATTGCTTGAAGACGATGCTTGCATGCTTGCGCCCTCACTACTGGCGATGCGTCCCTTGTTCATCCTGTACTTTTAAGCAAATCGATTCGACACTGCCAACTGTATTGTCCAGCCTTTGACTGTGATTGGACTCCTCTGCGTGGACAGCCCCACGAGCCAATGACCATGATTTTGGTTTATTGCAGCTTATCCATACAGTTTGCAGCCAGAAAAGACGGCTGTAAAACGCAGGCTCCAAAAATGCTCGCCCGATTTGATAGAGATCGGCGATCTCTTCGAACTCGAAATTTTAGCCCATGCACGAGCGGCTCGGTACGCGCGACGCGTCCACTCTTGGCCTGCTGTTGTTATGCCTTCGTTCTTAGAAATGTGATAACAGAGAGAGGAAGCAGATCAGGTCCAGGCGCTGTTGCGCGCGCAGACTGTTCAAAGCAGAGCTTCACTTTGATAAAGTCACACCTTCCTTTCGAGAAGCCTTGTGCCAGCTACCACAAGCGCCTGTTGTCTCGCTAGTGGTCATCGTTTTGAGCGCACAACAAAGACAGTGAGCGTGGCTTCCCTATGTCAGTTAGACGAGAAGCCTCTATCATATGAAAGAGAGAGAGGTGGAAAGCAGATGATGGACAGGGACGCCAAAACAGCGTTCCAGACTCAAACAGGGCTCAGAAATATCCCGGGCTCCTCTCGAGACAAAAGGCAGTGTAGGCAAGCTGCCAGAGAGTGACTATCGAGCAAGCGAATTCGGACGTGCATCGCAAATCCTCCTCATGCCTCGGTTTTGTATTCAAAACAAAAGCGAGCGCGTGTCTGGACTTTGAAATCGTCAACCAAAATTCAATCGCTTGCCCCGAGGCAGAGAGACACTGGCGACGAGGCGGAAGGGGAGGAAAAAAGAACAACACTTTTTGCGCCGCACCCAGTCGAGCGTGCGTGCGAGCGTGCGTGCGTCTCTCGAGAGTGTCAGTTTGGAAGAGAACGGGCGAGCGAGAGACGGAGGGCGACTGTGCGTGTTTCGCCTTCTCTGGGCCGTCCTGGCCGTCGGTCGCACTGGCAGTCCAACACTTTTGAACTTTTGAACATGAGCCAGCCAGCCAGCCGGCCAGCCAGCCCAGCGAGCCAAATCCTCAATCGACACAGCGCGCGCCGCCCCTCTGAGCCCAAAGTGTGTGATCGCCACCTGCTCACCAACCATCCTCCTGCTCACCAACCTCTTCCTCTGCGACCTCCGTTCTCACCCGGCCCTCGCTTCTTCACCTATTCACCACCACCACCTTCTTTTCGGCAACACAGGCGTCGGTTCCTTCTCCAGGTTCTTTCAGCCTAGTTCGCGTTCCTCCAAGTAAGCTGTAAGTTTCTTGATCCCAAGGCGAGCAACAACCCTGTTCACGATCAGGACCACCCGACGACTCGACAGCATCCGACACCAATCTAGGCGCAGCGCGACACTTCACCACGATTCGAAGCAAGATCTACACGCGCACCCCCCCTTGGCATCCTTCCTGATGCATAATCGGTAGCTGCAGTGATGCCGTTGAGGATCATCCCGCTCGCAAATCACGCGTCATCGAGAGAGCATGCTGCCCATACTACACTTGCTGGAAGCGATGCCGACGTGTCACGTCAATAGAGGATCGAGGAAGCATGCTTGATTGCGCAGGTGGAGCCACAAGGTCCATCCATGGCAGGCAGGTGCTGGAACCAGACTTCAGCTTGCACAGTGACATGCGCAAAAGGTGTCGCGCCCTTTCCCGGTCGCCAGCAACAATGCACCTACCTTCCGACAACGCAATAGTCTCGTGCGATCGTTCGACATTTCGTAACATCGATCGACGGCCTGCTCGTCCGGACTCCTTATGACTGTATCTGAAAAGACAGACATGACTGACTTTCCTCCATCTCCGTCGTTTGCGCGCGTTTCCAGTCATCAAACGAATCAGGATCCATATTCGACCTACCTTCTAACCTTTCTTCAAGATGCGTGAGATTGGTGAGTCGCATTGTCACCCGCATATGGTCTTTCTTTTAGCATGCATCAATTCGCTAACACTTGCTATCTTTGCACCCGCCACGACTCTCAACCACCGTCCAACGTCTCCTCCATCTGCACTGCTCCCATGCTATCCTTGTCACCGTCCCGAACCTGATCTATGATGTCGCCAAACCATTTCGCCCCCAACAGTCCACCTTCAGACCGGTCAGTGTGGTAACCAGGTTGGTACCAAGTTCTGGGAAGTGCTCTCGGACGAGCACGGCATCGACCACAACGGTAACTACATCGGCACCAGCGACGACCAGCTCGCCCGTATCAATGTCTACTACAACGAGGCCAGCGGCAACAAGTACGTGCCTCGTGCCGTGCTCGTCGATTTGGAGCCCGGTACCATGGACTCGACTCGTTCGGGCCCCCTCGGTGGTCTCTTCCGCCCCGACAACTACGTGTTTGGTCAGTCCGGTGCCGGTAACAACTGGGCCAAGGGTCACTACACTGAAGGTGCCGAGCTCGTCGACTCGGTCCTCGACGTCATCCGCAAGGAGGCCGAGAACTGTGACATGCTCCAAGGTTTCCAGATCACCCACTCGCTTGGTGGTGGTACCGGTGCCGGTATGGGTACCCTCCTCATCTCCAAGATCCGCGAGGAGTACCCCGACCGAATGATGGCCACCTTCTCGGTCCTCCCCTCGCCCAAGGTGTCGGACACGGTCGTCGAGCCCTACAACGCTACCCTCTCGGTGCACCAGCTCGTCGAGAACTCGGACGAGACCTTCTGTATCGACAACGAGGCGCTGTACAACATCTGCTTCAAGACGCTCAAGCTCAATGCTCCCACCTACGGTGACCTCAACCACCTCGTCTCGCTGGTCATGTCCGGTGTCACCACCTGCCTGCGATTCCCCGGTCAGCTCAACTCGGACTTGCGCAAGCTCGCCGTCAACATGGTTCCCTTCCCGCGTCTCCACTTCTTCATGGTCGGCTTCTCTCCGCTCACGGCACGTGGCTCGCAGTCGTACCGTGCTGTGACCATCCCCGAGATCACCCAGCAGGCGTTCGACAACAAGAACATGATGACTGCCTGCGACACGCGCCTCGGTCGCTACCTCACGTGCGCCGCGTACTTCCGTGGCAAGGTCTCGATGAAGGACGTCGAGGACCAGATGCAAAGCTTCCAGCAGAAGCACTCTACGCAGTTCGTCGAGTGGATCCCCAACAACGTGCAGACGGCGCAGTGTGACATTCCTCCTCGTGGTCTCAAGATGTCGGTGACCTTTATCGGCAACTCGACAGCGATCCAGGATGTGTTCAAGCGTATTTCGGAGCAGTTCTCGGCCATGTTCAAGCGCAAGGCCTTCTTGCACTGGTACACGGGTGAGGGTATGGACGAGATGGAGTTCACCGAGGCCGAGTCGAACTTGCAGGACTTGATCGCCGAGTACCAGCAGTACCAGGACGCTTCTGCTCTGGACGAGGACATTGAGGGCGAGTACCTTGAGGAGGAGGAGCTCGTCCAGGAGTAAACTCGAGGAGCCCTTGTTGGACGGGCGAGACAGCGGTCCGCAACGACAACAGACCGGACGGGTCTCGATGCTGTGCTCTGTTCTGGCTCACAGCGCAGGGCCGGGTCGAGACGAGGTGTCGGACTGCTGATTGGTGCGTACCGCGCAGCTTGGCCAGACTTTCTTCTTCTGATTGCCCTTTTTTGATATCAAGTGAGCGTTGTAAGCTCTGTTGTTTGCCCTTTGAAATTCCCCAGATTCTAAGATATGCTCTTGCGTGTGACTGGGCCAGCGTGTGGGTGTCGTAGATGTCAAGTGTGAGCAGGGTACGAGGGCGTCCGGTACGCATTTTGCGGAGGGAGGAGGGAAGCGTAATCTAACAGTGAAAGGCAGCGGTCGCATCGTACTTCCGCCGTGTTCACAACGAGCAAGGGCGAGCAGAAGGAGCAGAAGGAGAACGTGAGCACGTCGGTTCGACCATACACGAGAACGGCGCAAGAGAGCATGCATGGTTTGAGGCTGGCGGTTCCCAATTTGCGGGGAAAGCTGGAAGCGGTGACCAGTCAGTTACTCGAAGCTCTGACGAAGATCTTTTCTTGACGACGGCGCTTTCACACCCTAAAAAACAAAAGGTTTGGGTGGGGGTGGATTTCTTCCTTTTGTGGTTCCCCAGATTCTGGACTCCCTGACAATCACTCACACACACTCACTCTCCATCGGCTCCTCACTGCAGCATTACGGATGCAACGTTGCGCGTCTCTACCTCTGTCAGCTACGAAGCTTTTTGGTTTGAGCAACTCATAGCTGATACTCTGCGGAAGGAAAGAGGCGAGCGGTGCAGTGTGTGTCGTTAGCTTGTCTCGTCACGAAGCGAGAAGAGGCGGAAAAGCCCGGCGTCGATGATGATCCACCTCGTGCATCCAAATCTCGTACCGGCACGAAGCGACACAGCAGAGAGAAAAGAGAGAACGATTATGAGGTCACGCACTCTGCCGTGTGCAATCGGAGGGCAATTAGGAAAACAGCAGCTGTTTCGGCTAACCACACATTTGCACTGATGCACGCTTCGGGTAGTTTGGTGTGAGAGAGAGACTCAGCGCTACAGAGCTGCAGCCGCGTGCATTTCAATGTTTTAGCCCTTCCCAAGACAGGCCTGCAGAAAGTGGGCGCACGGCTCGCTTTCAAAAACGGGAAATTCAGGCTCAGAAGAGTCGGCTCTGCACCAGCGCCAAACAGCCCTCTCCACACACACTCTCTCCTGGGCAAATCGGTGACGGAATGACCGAACAGGCGTGTGTGTGCGTGACATTTGGATTCACGTTTCCTGAGCCGCTGCTCACTGCTCACTGCGTTCGTATTTGTCCCGCTCAAACTTCGTTCTTCCTCTTCATCCCAACTCCAACTCCTCCTCATCCTCATCCAGCAGCGCAGAGCCGTCGTCGTCGCACCAAGTGCAGCTCTGACCGAATTCGAGGCCATCACTGCTTGCAAGGCGGCTTGGTCACCTTCTCTGGCCTTCTGGTCTCTCGGTCCTCGTTATACCCCAGTTTCGCCCTCCGTCGGTGCTGCCACAGCCCACGCCGCTGTCCTCGTCACACCATCGCCATCGAGACCAAGCAAAAGCCTGAAGCCTGTCGAGTGCAGCTGTCTCTAGGTCCTCGGCGCCGATTTTGAACAAGCAGGACAGCCGTCCAAAGCTCGATCAACTCGGACGCTTCTTTCAGAGAGAGACGAGCGATTTCACACCGTACCTGCCTTCATAGTAAGCTAAGGAAGGATCACCTCCCAACATGTCGAAATCCGTAAGTAACGACTTGAGCATTTGGATGGAATTGCAATCCAGCGACAGGAGTCCGACTGACCTCTCTTTCGTGCCTATCCTTGTCTCGCCTCCTAGAGCAAATCCGAGCTCTACCTCAAAGAGCTTGACTCGGCACGTTTGCGTGGTAACTGGCTCAGCGAACAGCCAAGCCAGTCCGGCAAGCCGCTGCCTTGGAGCGAGCTTCTCCGCAAGTTTTCCAAGCACAACCCGGACAAGCCTTGTAGGTGCCAACCTTGCCCGCTTTCGCTCAGCCTGGCTCATCTTCATACGAGTACTGACACCTCGCACTCTTCTGCGAACCCCCTTTTACAGCCCTAGGAGCACTTGCAACGCTCGAGCACGAGCTCAAGGCTGCCTTCCACAACTTCTACGCCGACTCAAACTACACCGATGCCTCCCATCTGGACGACTACAAAGTGTATCCGCAGGCGGGCGATGCTACTCTCTTCCCACCAGTCATGCAGCCCGGTGCAGAGGGCGTCGGCTGGTCTACACAAGGCGTCGCTCAGATCGCCGACCGCGTCCTCGAGTACGGCGACAGCGCCAATCGTCTCGCCGCAATCTCTTTGCGCGCCTTGGCGTTCTTCGTGCTCGGCCGCGACGACGAGGCGGTCGACATTTTGCATCGCGAAAAGTTCATGGAGTCGGCCGGCGAATCCGCCATCGCGCCTGAAATGCACAACGCCGCGCTCACTGGCCTCGTCATCCAAGGATTCACCATCTACGGAATGGCCAACGAGCGACTCCTCTATTCCAAGAACGAGCCTGGATATGCGCCCTTTGCGCTTGCCGGGTTCGCCAGAGCCATCGAGTTACACGAGATGGTGCGTGGCGGCAAAAAGGCCAATGCGCTTCGTGGTCTGCAAGCCGACGAGATCGAGAGGTGGGCCGAGGTGGCCCTCTACCGCAATGCGCTCCTCTCGATTCGCGCAGGCGAGCCCGTACAAAGCCTCAACGCCCTTCGATCCTACCAGGCACACGCCAGTCGCTGGCACAACGAGTTCCGTCTTCCGCAGCGAAACGTCATCCATCGCTACTACCTGCGCGTCCTCAACCGATCCGCCGAACTAGGCACCTACGCCGATCCACCAGAGCTGCCTCCGCCCAGCCGCGATGACTGGCGAAGCAAGGCGTATCAGCTCACCGTCGTGGCCACCGTCGCCGCGCGCGTCCAGATTCGAGACTACGAGTCGGAGCGCCTTCACCGCGACCCTGCCGCCAAGCGCATTGCTCCTACCTTCTCTTCGCAGCGCGTCACATCACGCACCGTCTCGACGCGCCGACCCAAGGTCTACCGCGAGCTGCGTCCTCCTTCCGTGTCGTGGTCCAATGAGTCGCTCACAGCGCAGAAAGCCGCCTTCAACTCGCTCCAAAAGTCGACCGCGTTTCCCAAAGCGAACCACATCAACGACGAGGTGCTCGACTTTGCTGACGAGATGATCAAGGCGTGGGAGATCAACGGAGAACTCGGAGGCGAACAGGCGGACGATGCTGCCGAGATCTTGCATGGCCTTGTCGAGCTCACCTTCCACTCGCAGCGCATCGCACGCTACCTGGTCACGCTCCTCTTTGCCGCTGAGTGCTTCGATGAAGCTAAGCGTGCTTTGCAGGCCTACGCGCAGCTTGTAGAAAAGGCGAGGGAAGCCGACGCGAGCGCCGAGACCAACGCTTCTGGCAGCAAGGCAGAAGTCAAGGAGAATGGCGAGGCTCAGGCCGAGAAACCGCAGGAACAGCAGCAGGCCAACGGCAACAAGACGACATCTTCAAAGGATCACGATAGCGATGAGGTCTACGCAAGCACGCTCGCTCACGGTGCCTACCTCGTCGGACGTCACTGCAATGACTTTACGCTTGCAGACAAGATGGCCACAAAGGCGCTCGCAGTGGCTCTCGACGACAAGGGCCAGTACAAATCTACTCTGCAGCACAACACGATCTTGCTGGCCCGTCTGAAGCGTGTTAGCGGCTACGCCAAAGCCGGTTTGGCGATCGAGCTAGCGGATCCTGTGCGAAGGCCGGTTTTGCAGTCGGAGGCCCTCGCCGACCTCACCGCGGCCGTGCAGCTGGACAGCCAATCCTCGGAGGCTTTCTACCAGCTCGCCTTCTTGCAGGCTGAGCTGCGCGATGTACACTCTGCCTTGCAGTCGGCTCGCAAAGCGGTCGAGCTTGAGCCGGCAGACGTCGAATCGTGGCACCTGCTGGTGCTGCTGCTGTCGGCGCAGAAAAAGTACAAGGACGCATTCAAAATTGCCGAAGTGGCGCTCGACGAGTGCGAAAAGGACGACAGCGGAACCAGTACAGGCGCTGCCAACGGTTCGTCACCAGCCAACTTTGCAGGCTCTCAGCTGCTGAGCGTCGACTACCCACCTCGGCCGTTGGAGAGGAACGAGTCGATCTTGCGGCTCATGGTGACGTACAATGCGTTGGAAGAGCTCAACGACGGAGTCGAAAGTGCGATTGCTGGACAAAAGGAGCTCTTCTCGTACTTCCACCGCGTGTTCCCGTACGCAGCAGCGGCAGCAGCTTCAGCCTCGGCTTCGTCAGCCGGTGGAGTTGGAGCCGGGGTGGGAGCCGACAACCCACGCACATCCAAGGACTTGGGCGGCTTGCGACGATATGGCTCGCTCGCCGCGGTTGGTGGGGGTGACAACAGCAACGACACTGTGCTAGCTCGGTCGCAAACGACGGCGAGTCGAGTACGATCGTACGCCCAGAGGTCGGCGAGCGGTGCCGGCGGCACACAGAAGAGCAACGCGGCCATCTTGCCAGGCATGCAGTTTGGCGGCGAAGACGACGACCTGTCGGAATCGGGAGCTGAGCGTAAGATGCAGCATCTCAAGAGGCAATCGGTCACTCTGGCCAAGATTTGGTTACAGTCGGCGGCGAGCTTCCGACGTGCTGGTCAGCTCAAGGAGAGCCGATCTGCGATCCAGGAGGCTGAGCGTCTGCAGCCGGGACTGGCGGACGTGTGGGTTCAGCTGTCGCTGTACTTTGCTAAGAACGGATCGAATCGTCTGGCGGTGGATTCGCTGTACAAGGCGCTGGCGTGTTCGAGCACGGACATTGCTGCGTCGGTGCACCTGGCACGTCTCTTCCTCGCCGATCCCGAGCTCAAGCCCAAGCGCCACGCTGATGTCGTGCACCCAGGGCCCGCCGCCACGGCGCCGGTCGCGGTCAAGCACAACTACGAGTCGTCCGCCGAGGCGACGCTGAGCGCCAAGGCGCAGGATCTGTCTTCGGTGAGCTTGGCCGAGGGTCTGTTGACGACCACCACCAAAGGACCGGGTTGGGACTCGAGCGAGGCCTGGCTCTTCCTGGGCCAGGCGGTGCAGAGGAGTCAAAGGGCACAGCGGGCGAGGGAATGCTTCGAGTATGCGCTCCAGCTGGAAAACACCAAACCTGTCCGTCCGCTTACCACTGCTTTGTTGCGATGAGCGGGGTCAAACACATCTGTCATTCTTTTAGTGTTCCAGAAATAATACCTTGTCCTACTCTGATTGTTCTCATCTATGGTGTGCAAGAGTGAACGCGATGCGAAAGAGTAGAGCTCTCAGAAGTTGAGACAGCTTGTCCAAGTCGACGAGGGAGCTGAGAGGCAAGGGCGAGCCTGAGCAGCCAATCGATGCTCTTCTCTGCTTCTGCGGGGGGATGCAATGCGGGGCATAACTGCGCACGACTGCAGCAGCCGAAGCAGCAACAGCAGCAGCAGCACGCAGAGCAACCCTTTTTGGTTGAAATTCGAGCGTGTTGAATTTCACCGCTCTGAGGAGAAATGACGGAATTGCAACGAGGCTGCAAGGTTGCAACTGCACACAGACCAGTTCAAGCCACCAAAAAGCTGCGTCAGAGCGGCAAGGCGGAGAAAGAGAGAGAGTCACACAATCAACGTCGAGAAGCGGAGTCGGGTGAATGTAGTCACTCGACCTTCGTTCTACCATCTCTCAAATAATTATCCACACCACATTCATCTCCCTATCCCCTTCCATTTCTCGACGGTACACGAAAGGAACATACAGCTCGTCCGCTTGCTTGCGCTTCAATCTCGCTTCTGGACGGTGCGCGGACATCGCCTCGCTGAGCTGCTTCGCTCGTTCCCATCGACATTGCAGCCTTTCCAGGTCCATAACTTGCTACGACCAATTCGTCAACGATTCGCTCGACTCTGATAGTCCCAGCTCGACACTGCAATCTTCTGCCGTTCAACGAAGCAGCAACCTCGCGAGCTAACATCCGGGTGCTAGCATCGACTCGGCATGCACAGCACACATCGGCCAATCTACTCAGTTTGGAACCGCAACACTTGAGTCTTCTCGCAGTTGATACTAGAATTCATCATCTGCGACGTGCAGTGTAGCACCGCCGCATTATCACAATGTCCGGCAGAGAAGCTTCTGCCAGTTCGCGGCGCCAGCCCTCGGACCACCTGGATGTAGCAGCCGGCTCATCTTCTCGCTCCTCGAGTCGCCAGCCATCTCGCTCCGGATCAAGGCATCGCAGCGAAAAGTCAGCAAAGCAGCCCGTACGCATCGGGCAATACATCTTGCAGCAGACGCTGGGAGCGGGATCGTTCGGTAAAGTCAAGCTGGCAACCCACGCTCTCACGGGTCACCGCGTCGCGATGAAGATCATCAACCGTCGCAAGATCTCGAGTCTCGACATGGGCGGCCGCGTAAAGCGTGAGATCCAGTATCTCAAGCTGCTTCGACACCCCCACATTATCAAGCTGTACGAGGTCATCACCACACCCAACGACATCATCATGGTGATCGAGTACGCAGGTGGCGAGCTCTTCCAGTACATTGTCGATCGTGGCCGCATGCCTGAACATGAAGCGAGGCGATTCTTCCAGCAGGTCATCTGTGCCATGGAGTACTGCCATCGACACAAGATCGTCCATCGCGATCTCAAACCGGAGAACTTGCTGTTGGACGAGTACCTCAACGTCAAGATCGGCGACTTTGGTCTGTCCAACATCATGACCGACGGTGATTTTCTCAAGACCAGTTGCGGGAGTCCCAACTACGCCGCGCCAGAGGTGATCTCAGGCAGGCTGTATGCCGGACCCGAGATCGATATCTGGTCGTGCGGTGTCATCTTGTACGTCATGCTGTGTGGCAGGCTGCCCTTCGACGACGAGTACATCCCTACACTGTTCAAGAAGATCAACAACGGTATCTACACGCTTCCGAGCTACCTCTCGCAGGAAGCGAGGCATCTGCTCAGCCAGATGCTCATCGTCGATCCGGTCAAGAGGATCACGATCCAGGAGATCAGGCAGCATCCGTGGTTCAACGTCGATCTGCCGGCGTACCTCAGGCCTCTGCCGCCGACGCCTGCGGCTGAGAATCGAGGCTTCGACTTCGGCATGACGGCTTCGCCCGCCGATACGGGATCACCGGCTGATGTAACATCGCCGACCAATTCGAGCTCGGCGGCCAACAGCGGTGCGTCTTCGCAGACCTCGGCACCAGCTAGTAGACCGGGTAGTCAGCCGATCGCCGCCGGCGATCTGGGGATGATCGAGGACGACATCGTCGATGAGCTGGTCGGCAAGATGGTGGGCTTCAATCGGGATGAGCTGATGCACCACCTCTTGGAGAAGGGCGACAACCAGGTCAAGGTAGCGTATCAGCTGGTGCGCGATCATCGACGCATGCTGCAGATCCACCATATGGAGGACGCGCACGGTATGGAGATGTTCCTGGCACAGAGCCCGCCTGCGTGGAACGAAGGGTTGGAGGGCTTCATGGGTCGATCGACCAGCATCAAGCGCAAGAACCGGGACAAGGATGCCGCAGCTTCGGCGGTTGCATCAAACAAGGAGCAGGTTCCGCCGTTGCCGCCATCGGCACAGTCGCAGGCACAGGCGCATGCGCAGGCTCAGGCACAGGTGGCGGCGGCAGGTGTGGGCGAAGACGAGGGGGATTCGTTCATGGCCGATGCCGCAGATGCGGATCCATCGGACGACGGGAATGAGACGCTGGCGAGTGATGAGGAGGATGTGCTGACCGACGACGATGGCCAGCTGACGGACGTGGAGGATGGGGCGGGGGACAGGATGGTCAGGATTGCGGTGCTCGAAACGTCGCTGCCAGGGTATCTGCGGGCGAGGGAGGCGGAGAGGTTGGCGACACCGTCTGCGGAAAAGACATCGTGGCCGGCGTGCACGCCCATCTCTGGTGCTCCGACGCCGGCTCTGCCGCCGGCGTCGACGGCGCAGATCCACAAGAAGCCGCGCTCGCGATGGCATTTCGGCATCCGATCGCGCAGTCCACCGATGGAGATCATGCTCGAGCTGTACCGCACGCTGCAGTCGCTGGGGATGGAGTGGAGGGCAAAGCCGGTGGCCAAGCGGGGCAAGGACCGCGAATCCGACGGGGCGGCAGCAGCAGCAGCGGGGGGCGAGGCGCAGGACAAGGGGCAGGACGGAGGAAGTTCGGCGGCCAGCAAGGGCGAAGAGCTGTTCTTCCTAGAGACGCGCTGGAAGGTAGGGCATGTGCTTGTGCGCATGGATTTGCAGCTGTATCACGTGGATGCTACGAACTACCTGGTCGATTTCCGCAACGTCGGGTACACGAAGCTGGAAACTCAAGGGGAAGGTAGCGGAGCAGCGGAGGAAGCAGACGCCGAGGTGGGTCAACTGGAAGCAGCGTTCGACAAAGCCATGATCGAGACGCAGCAGGCGTTGCGAGACGGACAGCACGCCGGAGCGCAGCACCGGTTCGACGGGACGAGGATCAAGCCGAGCCTGGCACCGGCGGTTCCGGCGGGACGCAAGGAGGTCAACAGTCCGTTCTTGTTTTTGGAGTGTGCTACGCGGTTGATCGTCGAGCTGGCTGGAGGGGCGTAGTGGAAAGGCAAGGAAGGTCAGTGTATTGTGTTTGAAGTGAATTGATACCCTCGAGTGTACTACAGTGTGATGTGGGGGAGGGGATGTGCGAACAGCGTCGAGGATGAGAGAGTGGAAGACCCTGGATCGGGATCGGGCGAGAGAGAGAGATGTGGTGTGTGTGAACCGTGCAGGATATGCGGCCTGACGAGAGGCAGCAGAGCGACGCATGTGGAATGGCGGATTGCGCTCCAATCTTGATCTTGCAATTCCCGTTGCACCGAAAAATGCAAAATGCCAAGACTGCGTCATTTTGGTGCTATTTGCAGCACATGAACACAGCCCAGCCCGCATGACTGCAGCCACACTTGCCTACGCAACCGCGGTCGAGCCAGAGAGAGAGCCAAGGCGCAGATCAGAAAGTGTGACGTTTTCGCTTCCTCGTGCCTCGTGCCTCGTGCAGCGCAGTCAATCCCAACTTGGTGCGATCTTGGCGCTCGAAGGGAGAACGTTCCGAGTGTGGGTTGCAGTCCGATGCAGGGCGTCAGACTAACGTCTTTTGACAACGGTTCCACCCTCCCGTCAGCTTTCCTTCCAACCACGAACAGCAACGACCTTCAAGATGCCGGCCAACGAACGAACACCTCTTGTCGGCGGAAACGAAAACGGCCTTCCCAGCCACAACGGCAGTGGCGGTGATGGACACTCGCAGCCCAACATCGTCACCTCGCTCTGGTGGATCCTGACGTGCTCCTGGATCAACGTCTTTCTCGTCTTTGTGCCGCTCGGCATCGTCGCCGAGCACCTGCACTGGCCCGCCATCTGGATCTTCTCGCTCAACTTCCTGGCCATCATCCCGCTCGCCAAGATCCTCGGCGATGCCACCGAGCAGGTGTCGCTGCGTCTGGGTCAGACGCTGGGTGGACTGCTCAATGCTACGTTCGGCAACGCTGTCGAGCTGATCGTCGGTATCGTGGCGCTGATTCAGGGTCAGTTGAGGATCGTTCAGACTAGCCTCATCGGTTCGATCCTGAGCAACATCCTGCTGGTGTTGGGTATGAGCTTTGTCGCCGGTGGACTGTTTAGGAGCGAAAACACGTTCCAGCAGACGGCGGCGCAGGCGAGCGGGTCCATCATGACGCTCGGTTGCATCACGCTGGCCATTCCGGCGGCGTACCACATGTCGGTCAAGTCGAGCGCCGCGCTCGCCGGCAACTTTGAAAAGCTCGCTGTCCTCAACACCCCCATCGTGCACGGAGAGGAGGATCGCACCGGTCTGCTGTTCATCTCGCGCGGTACGTCGTTGATCCTGGTGGGAATCTACGTGCTGTACCTCGTTTTCCAGCTCAAGACGCACGCATTCCTCTACGAAGCCGAGGAGGAAGACGACGAGGAAGAGGAGGCCAAGATGTCCCCTCTCGCCGCTATGATCGCGCTCGCCGGCGTGACCGTCCTCACCGCGTTCAACGCCGACTACCTCGTCGGCGCCATCGACGAAGTCGCCAACGAGTACCACATCCCCAAAGCCTTCATCGGAACCATCCTGCTGCCGATCGTCGGCAACATGGCCGAACACCTCACCGCCGTCTGGATGGCCAGCAAGGGCAAGATGGAGATCAGCCTGGGCATCGCCATCGGCTCGTCGATCCAGATCAGCGTCGGCATGATCCCCATCCTCGTCCTCGTCGGCTGGGCGATCAAGCAGCCGCTCACGCTGTACTTTGAGACCTTCGAGACGGTGATCCTTGTCGCGGCGGTGTTTCTGGTCAACACGCTGGTGCAGGATGGAAAGAGCAATTATATGGAGGGTGCTATGCTGTGCAGTCTTTATGCGGTCGCTGCGTTGAGCTTCTGGGTTTCGCCTGGGGCGTAGGGTGAAAAAGGTGGGGGGGTGGTTGCTGTAGATATTGCAGGAAGACGGAAGTTGGAGGGGAAGGAAGGTGCGGTCGATTTGTAAGCTCGCGATGTCGAGCGTCTCGTTCTTACACGGGAAATGCCAACTCCTTCACACTCGTACACACGCCACGACAATATCGACTGTGGGAATATAGTTTTCATTCTTGACTTGGGGGGTCTTTCGTCATCTTTCGCCGCCTCGTCGTGTGCTATTCTATCGGCTCCTCTGCACGGTCGGTCAATCTCTTGTGCTTCGTCTGGTGGTAGTGGGCAATTCGTCACGCACCGGTGAGTTAGGTGGTGCTCTAGTGCCGGTATCTTGACCGGCGTTGGAGGATTCGCTGCGGTAGAGTCGCTGTCGGATTTCTTCTTTGAGTTGTTCGAGTTGCCAGCGTTGTTCTTCTTCTTCGTGGAAGGTGAGGCGGCGACGGGTGGTGGAGAGGCGTGGGAAGGTGGTGGCGGGTGCGGAGTCGCTACGACCGATGCGGGCGGGAAGAGGCGCAGGGAGGGGGAGTAGTGGGGGAGGAGAGGGAGGGGTGAACGGCGTGTCGAATGAGGGCGAGAGGGCTGATGGGTGGAAGGTTTCAAAGGATGCGGTGGGAGGGATGTGGTCCGGGATGGCGGGAAGGGCGTGAAGCATTTCGTCGAGTGAAGCTAAAGAGTCTTGGATCGGGGGGAAGTTGTGTGGAACGGGAGCGGCGAGGACAATGGTGGTGGAGAACAGGATGATGAGAACAAGGATTTTGCTCATCGTTGCCAACGATGGTGGATGAGGATGGCGAGGAGGATCGTGACGCGTCGTGACAAGGGTCGACATGTCGACGAGTCATAAAAACTGTTCGCTCCTGAATTTTGTGGGAACTCTCGCACCCAATATCAGGGGGGTTGGTTCCTCGTATCCGCCTTCTTATAACCCTCCCTCCTCCTGTCATTCATCCAAGCCAACCACCAAACTTCTCCCGACCGAACGCTCGATTCCCCTTTACAACAGCTGCCCGGTTGTTACTCTTGCTACACAAATTTGTTCGGGTCACACGACCAACAACCCGTCCGTCGGATATTCGGATGAAACGCACGACCGTGCCGCCACACATGTAATCAACATCCGTGTGTGCCTGGGCAAATAACCGGCTATATGAGTAACGGCGGTGATTCCGGCGAGTCGGGAGAGTCTCGGGTTGTCTCGCCTGAACGAGACGGCTTCGAGTGACCTACCGGGTGGGGGAGAAAACGCAGATGAAGTTGCGTTGGAAGGAACGATGCCAGGTGTGTGCAATGCCAACGAGGAAAGGGATGGCAAGGGAGGCAGTTGCACCACGGTAAGAGAGGGATGGCTTAGGTTAGGTCCCAAATCAATTGCACGTCCGTCACCGATGCTTGGCGATGGGCACGACTCAGTCTGTCTGTCTGTCTGTCTTAGCGGCTGCCTGGAAGCGATCTTTGTATCTGTGCTTCGCTTCAGAGGGGAGGTATCCGCCACTCGGCGAGAAGCGAACGAATAACCGTAAGGAGCGCTGCTCTCGCATCCATTGAGTGGGTCAGTCATCGACGTCTCGAAAACTCGAAATCTTTCATTTCTGCACGCACACACCGAGACGTTTCAGTTAACAGCCGGAAATCTGGCTATGAGCAAACGCCTTTCTTGGCAACGATGAGAGTGATCAGAGCGGCTTTGGGATGGTTTGATGCAAGTTGGCAAGATCGGAGAATGCCGAGATGAAGGGGAATTGGGAAGAGTTGCCGACAGAGAAAAAAACGGACGATCGAGGTTCGGTTCAGAGCATTGAGTACAAATGCTCACTTGGACACTTTGTGAGCAGCGGGAGATGGCTGAAGCGTTGGTGTGCGTGTTGTATCGCCGACGACGAGCTTAGTGGCGCACTTTTTGGTGTACACATACAGTAACGATCGCTCGGCGATCTGCTGTCCACCCCATCTCGATCTCGCTCTCACCCCAACACACGTCGATAGTACTCCACCGCGCTCCTCAACAACCCCGTATCATCCGTGAAGAGCATCCTCGGCCATTCCCCCGCGCCTCTCTGCGCCTTCACCCACGTCTGTCTATCCAGCGCCTCCACGGCATTCTCCAGCTCCACCCTCGCCGCGTCCGCGTTCACACCGAGGGACTCGATCCTGGCCAACCTAGCAGCTGGGTACGGTCCGTGCCGAGAGAAATCCCAGGGGGTACCCCAAGCAAGGCGCATTCCGGGATCGATGCGAGAGGGAAACCGGTGCGAAGAGCGGAGGGTGTTGATGTGGGAGAGGACGGAGAGGTGGTGCGAGGTGGAAGGGTGGGAGGTGGAGAGTGCAGCAAAAAGGGATCGCATCTGGGATGAGGCGGAGAGGTACGAATTGGGAGAGCGCGGGGTGGCGTGGATGCGGGAAAGCAGGGCGGACTGGTGTTGCAGGTAGAAGGTGGTGAGCGAAGAGCGTTCATCGGAGAACGAAGGGTCTAGAGGAATCGCAGGAACAAGTGGTGCGGCGATTGGTTGAGGATCGAGTTGAACAGATGGAGGTGCGGGGTGGGCGCCGCAGAGCAACATCAGAGATAGGAAGAGAAGCAAGCTTGGTAATAATGTCGATGACATCGTGTTGTCTATCCAGGATTGAGTCCAGCTTGAGTCCAGCTTGAGTCGAGCGCTCGGACGTGGAAGAGGGTCAACATGAGCTTGTGCGAGTTTGCGTTTCTTTATGATGTTTACGACGGACGACGATCACCCGCGAGCAAAAGTTTCATGAGCACAAACTGGAATGCGCTTTTTCGATTGGTGCCGAGCTGGAGAGTCCTCACCTTGCTCCTTCTGGGCTTTGGACCATGATCTCTACCCACCAACCAACGCAGATCTGCAAAGTACAGTATGTGCCTCTAGCAGTCATCATTTGTCTGCGGTTGCTGCGTGCTGCGCCTTGGCAAAACAACCCACAAACCAACACATCCTCCCATCCGACCAATTTCACCTCATCGCACGTTCATCCCACACATTACTTGAACAACCCTGTACTGTAAGCTCGCATTCTATTATTGCATGAACAGTACTGTATACGCTCGCGTATGGGTATCAAAACATCCTCAACCAACGAGCGGACCAACCTTTACAGTCTCTCTCCGCTTTCTCGTCTTTTCCTTCTCCTCCTGTCTCCACACTTTGTTCGCCTTCTTGACCCGATCCTTCCATCTTCCCTTTGCGCCGTGCAGCAGCCTGGTGAGAACGATTGACGCCTGACCTTTTGTCAGCTGCGAGGTGGAATCTAGTGCTTTGCGTTTCGGTTTCCCTCCACCCTCTTCCTCCGTAGAATGGGCGACGCCTTTGGATAGGCCGAGACGTTTTTCGACGAGCTTTCGTTGTGAATCGGTCGCGCGCGTGCTGCGCCACGCAGCTCGGCGGTTGAGCATGGCGAACAGCTGGGGTGAGTTGCGCAGAACGGATTTCTGGACGTACAGATCTGATCCGCGAACAGCCTGTTCGAGTGTGGGGGAGAAGAGGATGTGTCGTGGACGACGGTAGGGTGACTCACCGGCGAACTTGCCGCGGTTAGCGCGGAAGCCGGAGGAGGCAGCACGACCAGAGGCAGCGGCTGCTTCGTCGGCGTCCGAGTTGGTCGGTGTAAACCAGGATGTCCACTCCGGCTTTTCCACATCCTCCTCTGCAGTGGGTTCGGAGTTGCGTTCGACGGTGACAAAGCCATAGCGTGGCACGTCGAGGATGTACGTCTGTCCTCCACAGTCGACCCACGCGTTGGGAGACATTATCTCGACCACGCTCGATCGGGACAGCATGGCTTGTTGGAGCTGATACGGATCTTCGTAGTCGATGTAGGTGATCTTCGTTGGATCCGCGAGAGAGATTCCGAACGGATCCTGGGCGTTTTCGACGTCTGAAGGAGCGAAACCTTCTGCTTCGTGTGATCGTTCCAGAAGGCCTTCTGCTGACTCGTCTTCGATGATGTCATCCGCATCGAGTCCGAACAACGTCGGTGTGCAGACGACGCCCTTTTCGATGTTTCCGACAATGTCGAGCACCAAACAGTCCTTCTTGCTCGTCTTGGGCGACAGTCGCAACCCACGTCCGATCATCTGTGAAAACAGGTTCCTCGAGCGAGTCGGTCTAGCCAACAGCACGCAGTCGATCGCAGGAACGTCGGCACCCTCGGTCAAGATCGCACAATTGACGAGCACGGGGTAGACGCCGTTTCGAAAATCCTCTAGCAGCTGACGACGTTCGAGCATGGGTGTACCCCCGTGCAGGTATCGCGCGTCGATACCTGCTTCTCGAAAGGTAGAGGTGAGGTCTTGAACGTGTTCGATGTTGACGGCGAATATGAGGGTGGAACGACGACGGGTGTGTGCGCGATCGATCCATGCTTTGAGGATGACTCTGTTGACCACCTCGGTGTTGACGACGGAAGCGAGGGAGGAGGTGGCGAAGTCCGAGTTGAGGTTGGAGATTTTGACCGAGGCGAGATCGATGTCGGTTCTGATCGAGGTGAAGCGAATAGGGCAGAGCCACTTGTCGCCGATCATCTCGAGAAAGTCTTTGTGGAATACGATGCGGTCGAATACTTTTCCCAAAGCTAGACCGTCGTGTCTGCTGAATGTTGCGGAGAAGCCGATCACCGGCACGCTTGCGGTGTCACTGCCGCTAGACTGATCTTGACGTTCGTCTGCGCTCAGTCCGATGAGCGAATCGAAATGCGATAAAACCTTGAGATACGATGGAGCAGCAGCATGGTGAGCCTCATCCACCACCACCGCCTTGAACCCATCCGGATCAAATTTGTCCAACCGCTGCTGACTCCGATTCAACGTCTGATACGTCGCCACCGTCACATCCGCCAGCCCGGAAGCTCTGTACTTGGATCCTTGTTCGATCTCGACCGACTTTTCAGGAAACATACTAGTGACGGCGTTGGCCGCTTGCAATGCGAGCTCGATCGAGTTGACGATGATGAGAACGCGATCGCCGCCGGTATCGGAGCGTGCAGGGAGACGATCGATGAGGTGGGTGAAGATGGTGGTCTTACCAGAGCCTGTGGGAGAAGAGACACCAATGCGAGTGACTCCACTCTCGAGTGTGGACAGACAGTCTTGAATGCATTCCTCCTGGTAAGGACGGAGCGAGAATGTGGATGCTGCAGAGTGCTTGATGGGCGGTATTGGTGGCGACAGCGAGTGTGGAGGAGATTGCTCTTCGGGAGATGTCCGAACAGTCGCGGTGCATGAGAGCGGACGTATTGATGGAGGAATCGAGATGAAGCTTTGGTTTGTCAACGTGATCCGCCTCGCACCAGCTGACGGAATGGCGCTCGCCAAACGCAGCGGCCGAGCGACTCCAATGCCGCTGAGGGCGCAGCTGCAAGCTCGCCGTGGTATTAGCCCCCTCATCTTCAATCTAGAAGGTCGTCAGCTCCGGATGTGCCGACAGTCCAAGGATCGTGGGGGTATCGTCGGGACCATCCGATATGGATGAGTGAACACAAGAGTGCGGTTTTGCTTTCCGCTGCATTTGGAAGATTTCGCTGTGCATTTGCAACCGCAGCCTCCACCTTAAGCAGTTCCAAAAAGGGTCCACGTCGAAAAGTAAAGCGCGGAAGTCGGCGTTGCGGTTTAACGAGACGCGCTTGCGGAGAAGCAAGTCGCGTTGATTGGCAAAAAGAACAACACAACCCTGCAGCTCGACTTGGTGGTCGACATCATCCATCGCGACAACGGCCACCACCCCCGCAGAACAAAGACTCACATCGTAGCACTACGGAACAGCCACCTTCATACTCGATCACAATGGAAGGAACGTCCTACCACGAGATGGCAGAGCTCCTTCGTCAAGCGGCACTCCAAGAAGCTGCATCGCGTGCCAAAACGCGTTCTCCACTCAACACCGAGCCCACCGCCAGCACATCTTCATCCTCAAAAGTGACAGCGGAAGCGGAAGTCGAAGCGGAAGAGCTGTTCGCAGTGTACGAAGATGAAAAGGCGAAGAACGATGCCCTAGCACGGACGATTGATGACAGGATGGAAGCGCTAGCAAACGCCAAATCGAGCAAAGCGGATCCAGTTGTCCAGGATGAAAAGAGGAAGTTGGAGATCGAATGGCAGCACTTGGAGTTTGCGATACGTCAGCTCGAAGAAGGTGAGCCTCGAGGCTGCTCTGGTCTTTGCTATCTTCGTCGTTGATGCTGACTACTGTTCTCATTTCACTTGACTTTATTGCGTGCGGCAGAAAAACGACATCTACCAGAACTCGATTCGTCGGCGGTTCTCGACATTCGCACACGAGCAGAGCTGCACGACCTCAACCTGCAATACTCTTCCGCGCTCTCTTCGCTTCGTTCAGATCTGGCCTCGGAACGCGACGCCCTGTCACGCGAAACGCAACTCCACTCCGATCTCGACATTGTTTCGGCTGGGTTGTCGAAACGTCTTGCACAGCTGCAACGCAAACGTCGACAGGATTTGACGAGCGAATCTTCCATTCGGTAAGTCCTTCTCCCCCCTAGTCATTTGATACCTCACCACTGGCCTGCTGTGAGACTGACAAAGCTGTTCTTCTCGCGTTGACTTGAGAAACAGCGAGCTGAACCGAAAGTTCAAACGGGAAGAACAGCGGTTCAAAGAGCTTCTCGCCCAACTCATCGACATGGGCACGTCCCTCTTCGGTTCCGACAATCGCAAAGTCGTGACGCTTCGACACTACCTCGACGAGTTCATGAACCAGGCTTGGGACAAACCCTTGGATCCTTGGGTCAGCTCGACAAAGTTGGCCATGAGAAGGACCGGCGGCGAAGTGGATGATGCCATGATCGAGTTTTTCGTCAGAGCCAACATCATCGTTCCTCATCCGAAGGACAGTAGACGATGGAGGTTGGTTGGATTTCATAAGCCGACGAGGGGGTGAGTGGTCGAGTGCGTCGAGGAGAGAGGAGGATGTGAATGTGATACCCCGTGGTTCTCTGTCAGTGGAGAGTGTGCGTGTGCTGTGCGTGCGGCCTTTCGCTGAAGCGGTTCGAGATTCAACGGAGACAAAAGCTCAACCTTCGGCTCGGTCTTGCCGAAGTTCGGAATGCTATCAAAGAAAGAAGCGATCCTGCCAGTCATCGAATTAAACAAAACGAGCCGAGAAAATCGACTCCAACTCTTCTCAAGCGAGCTGCACCAAGCGAAACTGGTACACACCTGTCGACAACCCGTTCCGTATTGTAACCCTTCCTCGCTAAACGGATATCTGACACTAAGCGCCACGTGTGACCCGACATGGCTTTTGCCACGAGGAACCTCTGCTACAACGATGCCTCTCGCAATACCTCGAAGCGAGATCACACAAGTATCTAGTACTCGCAAGATCCGGTTCCAGGTGGATCAAGTGTGGCAAGTTTTCAAATCCGAGGTGCACTCTGTTCGCTTCATATCAGAGCCACGCATCACGCCGAGTTTGATATCGCATCTTGGCTAGAACAGGAGGCGCAGGAAAGATGATGCATTGTACAAGATTTACAGCGGTCGCAACACACGAGTTCTGGCCGAAGCGCAGAGGCAGTACACGAGGACACGGAGCTAGACGAGCGATTCCACAGAGAAAGGAGGAGCGACTCCGACACTGTACGGGCGGAATCACCGAAGATATGTGATTTGCTCGTCGGTCGGAGCCCGCTGGCATGCCGAAGATTAGAGATAGAGACAGAGATATAGAGAGAAGAAAGCGGAAAGTAACTGGGTGTAGAGGAACAGTTCTTTAGCTGGAATTCTTTGCGAGAGGGCGACCGAGAAAGTGCACCGAACCCATTGCATCTAACGATTCTGCGATCTAGGATTCAGACACCTCAAGCTTGCTAGCGCGAGGTGGATAGGCAGTCGGGTGCTGGCTCCAGTAGCCTGCGTTTCGGTCGACAGAAGGATCGGCATAGGATGTGGCTTGGGCAGGCACGTGGTCCTGCTTGGCGGGCCAGCCGTAGCCGTCCGCGTGAGCAGCAGTGACCTGGTGCGTCTCCGGATGGGTCTCGCCATGCGGTCCAGGGGCGAAAGGAGATGGGTTGGACCAGGTGCTGTCAGTGGTCGACGAGTGAGCCGTGACAGGCGTGGGCTGGTTCGAGAAGGGCATCGAGAAGGTGACACCGCCTGCGCTGCCAGAGCTCGAGTCGGTGCGGTGGTCGAGTGCGCCCATAGTGGCGTAGTAGGGATCGGTCGAGTTCATGTGACCATTCTGATGCTGCTCGGCGCCCATTTGAGCAAGAGCTGGGGCGATGCCGTTGGAGCCCTTCTCGGAGCTGCTGGCATCGATCGAGCCGCTCGAGCGCTCTTTCTTGGTGGACTTCTTCTTCTGAGGGCTGTCATCGTAATGGCAGTCGCGCTTGCCGATACGGCACTGCTTGCAAGGCGTGCCGTCCTGGCTACACTTGACCTTCCTCTTTCGGCAGACAAGGCAGCCAGTTCGGCTACGCTTGAACTTGGCTCTGCGGGCAGGACCGGGCCCAGAGAGATCGCCTTCGAGCATCATGCCGGGACCGAGGTGGGGCGCCATGCCGTAGCCCATGGCGGCAACAGCGTGGGCAGCGGTACCAGGGGCGCCATAGCCGTTCCCATAGGCGCGACCGCTGGCGGCCGAACTACTCATGGATCGGTAGCGAGGCGACATGGCAGACATGGCGTTTGCATCGTAGCTATAGCCGGGTTGCATGCCCGAATTGGCGCCGTAGGCCATGCGGTTATGGTCGTAGCCCTGCGGCGGCGCAGCAGAGACGGAAGCATGGCGGCCGTGAATGCTAGAAGAGGAATTGGCACCCCATGGCCAATGACGACCGGAAGATCCGGGCACCTGGTAATCAGCCGAGGCCAGGCCGGATTTGCCAAGCTGGGGCTGCGTGCGGATCGCCCGTTCGTCTAGCGAGAAGCGTCGGGCGTCTGCGGCCTGACCTTGTGCGTACCTGACCTGGGTGTGCAAAGGAGGGGACTGGTCGTAAAAGTGGCTTGCGGTAGAACCGCTGTCGATGCTGCTGCCCAAACCGACCTGGTCAAATTGACCATTGAGCGAATAGATGGATGCGTGTCGGCTTGCGGTCAAGCCGGGAGAAGAAGGAGCCCAGCCGCCGGTCACATCGTGGGGGGACGAGATGGAGGAGATCGAGTCCTGGCGGTGATGCGGCAATCCCATGTTGGAGGGATGCGAGAAGCTTCCACGATAGCCTGGCGGGGTAAAGAAGACAAAAAGATGCTCTCGCGGTTAGTCTCAGGCTTCACGACGCAACCGGAAGAGAGGTAAGCCAGCTTTTGAGGGAAGCTCAAGATGTACGGATACTCACTCGACATGGGCGAATGACCCTCGGCCATAGCGCCTGGCTGCGGATGGGCTGCAATTGCACCTGTACCGTATGTATCGTTGGATGCAGTATGCGTCGCCTCAAAGGGACGCGGCGCACGAGGCTCGTGGGAGTCTGTGGCAAAGACCTGCGCAGATCTATCTGGCAATGCACCGTAGTGCGCGGGGTAGTTGGTCTGCTCCATGTATGCGCTGTGAGTGAAAATGAGGATGACAATAGCGATAGAAAATGAGGGGGCATTGTCAGCATGTGCGGCAAAGCGAAAGGTCAAATGGAGCTTCTGACTTGGGCGTCGTGGCCGCTGCGCGCGCGAATACCGGCGATCTGGCAGATGTTGACAGACAGCGGTATGGCGGTGCTGCTTGCTATGCGGCTGTCGTATGCGAGGGCGGCCGACCCGCGTGCGTGGAAACTTACTTTGTGCTCATTTTTAATGTAAACTGATGCCGTCAAAGGGAAACGTGATTGGATCAGGCTTCGTGCTCGTCAATGGCAACGAAAGAGCAAATGTAGAGAAGAGTTTGTCGCGGATGATCCGATGATGCTGCGAATGCACGTTTCGATCGGAATTGAGCCGGCTGAGACGATTGTTGAGAACCGTGAGCGATTGTCGGAAGGGTGCTCGCGAGGGTGAGAGGTGCGACTACAAGCAGATGTCGTCAAGTTTGTTCTTGCGGAGGATGCGATGTTTTGGCACGTCTCGAGGTAGAAGGGAAGCAAGATCCAAGTGACGCGAGCTAGAAAGGGATGGTGATGGTGGTGGCGTGATCCGAAGAGGAAGAAGTGGTGGTCCGAGGCGTGGTGAAAAAGGGCGTGGCAAGCGAACGGGCGACGGGCGAGGACTCGGACAGCCAAAGGTGCGTATCCGTCGCAGAGGCGAGGTTACGCGAACGGACAAGGTGCCGTCAGACAGCTCGGTCCAAGCGTCTGGGCATGGCTGAGTGATAGAGAAAGTCCAGCCGACCAACGGTGACGTCCCAAAAAGGGCTCAGACAGGGATTAGGCGCCGCTCTTGCTCCGCTGCAGCAGATGGGTGTGGACGAGATCTCCACGCACTAGCGCTGGATCGCCAAGCCCAGCAGCACCAAAAGAATCACAGGGGGAAAATCAAGAGGCCGAACAGCAGGAAAGAGGTCACTGACTTGCGCCAACCGTGACAGCTCGTAGCGAGGGGAGATCGCAGGCAGCCACAGCAGCAATAAGCGGCGGCAGCAAACAACAAAGCAAGCAAGCAAGCAAGCAGCACCGGCAGCTCTGTGATAGAGTTCCGCCCTTTGCAAGTGACCGCTGATGCACGTTGTGGCGACTTGCCATTCATGTCTCACTGCGACGAAATGCAGCCGACAGCTTGACAAACGGCTGCGACAACGCAGATTGATTCTGGTTTCAAGGGAGTGGGGGCGGCAGACGGAGCCAGGGCGAGGGCAGTCGAAGCAAGCTCGAAATTCCCGTCCCAAGATTGGACCGCAGAAAGGAAGGAAGAGCTGCATACGGTCTGCAGGCCGGTTTGCATGTGCCACTTTGGCGAGGCGGCCGTGCATCGCACTGGCAAGACAGTTGACTAACCACCGCGGAGAGACAGGGTCAAGAGATGGAGCCCAAAAGCACGACGGCAAGAAATTTGAAATCCCGCCGCAGCAGACCCAGCACTTGCAAACAGCAGCATGCACTGAAGAAGTGTTCCGTTCCGCCAGCCACCTCGCACTCTGCCCAACCCGCTCTGAGCTCTCATTTCCTCTTTCTTTTTTGTTTTTATTTTGTTTTGGGTTCTCTGTAAAAAAAGGTTTCGAGCCACTGTACAGCTCAACGTGGTCAGCCATCTGCAAACAATAGGCAAAACGATTCAACGTCGTAGATTGACCTGAAACCAAAGAGAGAAAGAAGACAGCGCCGTCGTTCCGTCCAACAACCGCTTAAGCTCTCCAATTTGCGTCTCAAGTGAAGCAAGCTCCTTGAACGAGAGAGCTTCGGCTTTGCCGCATGATCTATTCGGGTGCAAACCAGCTCAGCAGCAAAGCGCCATTCCAATGGGCAGATCAATCTCGATATAACCGTATATTTTTTCCTCTTGCCTTTTTCTCTCACCAACCTCGGCTAATTGACTCCGCAGCTTGGGCGTTTCTGGAAGATTTCAGACCCCGACAGCCTCGATGATGCTATCCGTCGCTCTGACCTTTTCAGACCGATAAATTGGTCGATAAAGGCCTATATCGTGTTGGAAACGCACCGTCGATGGCGTTGATTGTCCTGTGAGAGGACGGGAGGAACTGTCGGGGCGTCACGGTGTTCACGCCATGCTTGTGAAACGCTCAGTGGCATCCCAGACGGCGATTGTGGCACGTAGTGCAAGTCACCAGTACGTTGTCTGTGTAGTTGATGCGAGAAGGACCCCATGTCTCAACTCACCGGTCTCTAGAGGGCGGCAAGGCACTACCCCTTCCAAAAAGGGATCTACTAGGTTGGCTTAGAGTGCGAGACGGTGGCACATCGACCAGGACCGCTCGGCCGGCATTCTTCTCCTTGTCGGCGCAAAAGCCTTCTGGCGAATCAGTCGCGCTCTGGGAATCCTTTGTCGCTTCGATTCAGAGGGATCTCGCAACCCTTGCACAGGCGATCCCGTGTTCATCGCTCGCCGAAGACGTGATCCGCAGTCAGAGTCGGTATCGGATAACAAACGAACACACCCCGCTCTGCTTTGGTGAGACATCACCAGATCACGAGACGAGCTTGACAGCCAATGCTTTGAGACTCAGACGCTGCGCTCGATGATGGTCAAGATGTTGAGATCTCGAACGAGCTGATGCCGCACCTCGACAAGTCGGCGGAAAGCTTGCAGGTTCGAGAAAACGAGAAAACTGCCAAAAAAAACTGGCGATTGCTCGTCACTTTCAAATGCCGTCGGACATCTCCTGTGGCCAAATCGCCAGGCCTTCAATGCGGAGCTGCAATCTTGCATTGTGCCAGAGGGAAAGAGAGTGGGTGCACAAGCCAGCCTCTTGGTGTAAGTTGCCAGCAAAGGCCCGACCTGATCAGGCGTCAAGCCAAACATTGCCACTCCATTGCATTACATTATCGTGTGGAACGTCAATGCATGCTCCTTGGTGGTGGCCCGCTTGGTCGCTGCAAGCCACACATGTCACGAATCGCCTAGAGGACGTTCCACGCCTTGGCGAGCGAGGTCCCTGCTTGTTTCTCCGTGACGCCCAACAGCAACTTCTGTATCGGCAAGGTCGACACAGGTTCCGAAGGACAAATACACGCGGTGTCGTCTATTGTGTCTCGAGGAACGTTGGTTCGGGTAGAGGCTCCCGAGCGAAACCTCGAAGGACCCTGCGCCGTTAAACTGGATCCAGTGCACGGTGAGACCACGTACGAGACTCGCTGCCGACGGCCTTCCGCTTCCTCTCGAAGCAGTACGATGTCGACTGAACGAGGCGTATACGTTCGAGGCCAGCAGTTCGCTGGCGACCTCTAACGGCAGCAACGCGGCATCATCAGGTTCAATATCTGCGCCCTCCGGCATGAGCCTAGCACCGTGAAAGTTGATGCAGCCGACACGTCGTCCCATGACGTCATTTCTCAGCAGCGTTATCAGCCGCTGCAAGAACGCGCCAGCGCGCTCACTGAAAGCGTCCAATATCATGTTGTTAGACTGTAGTCCGCGCATCTTGCTCGACGGGCCACTCACACCTTCTCGGTGCCGAAGTATGAACCTGATACTGAACAGAGGCGAGGTCAGGGACTCGCCATATGCGAGACCACGCTTGACCATGATCAATTCTTAGACCAGAACAAATCCGGGGGAGAGCAATCGACGTGGGGGAGTAAGGGGGAGAAACCGAGCTACTGTAGTGCCGTCTCAAATTCTCAGAGCCGAAGCAGCGTGGCTCCTTCGAGCCTGTCTGGTGTCGATTCTCCTGAATCTCTTGGTTCTCGCTTAGAAGCCGGCAGAGTGTATTTCCGTCCCGCGAATCTAGTCGAAGCTCGCCTCTTTTTGCCATCTGGCAAAGACACCGGTTGGCGAGATGCGTGGGGTTTCAGTATCTGTCAAGCGACGCTGGGGTGTTTGCGGGCTGCTCGTCGTTCGCTCGGATAGTGTTTTCTCAGCGGTGTGTTTGAGTGGGACCTTGAGTTGTGCACGGCTTCCACTCTTGAACACCGTAGTGTACAGCAGTGAGGAGGGCGCAGTTCTCGAAGCGAATCCGCGGGGACAAACAAACAAGCAAGCAGCAATGCGCCGCTGCGCCGCTAGGCGGTCGCTAACGCCAAGTGGCCGGGCTCCGGGAACCACTGGAGAGGATCACTTCACGCACCCTGGATCCGCACTTCTCGATCAAGCTCGATGCCCGACTCTGCAAAAATGCCAGATGCGATTCAAGATCAGGTGGTTTTCAGAAATGTTCCCATGCACCGTTATTTTTAGTTTAGTGCGGGCTTTCTGTCTGCAGAGGCAAACCTCGACCACATGCTGGGTCCTGCGCGTGCAGCGGGAAAACAAATCTCGAGCCTTCCGTGGGGGTTCTGGGAAGGGGCGGATGAGCAGTCGTCTGGACCTGCACAATGCTTCTGGTCAATTGCGGCTTGCAGATACGCTATCGATGCATGTCTCGCGAGCCGCGGTTTGCGAATCCTCTGCGAATTTGCCTCAAAAGTCTCGTTGGCGCAAGGTGGCACCCGGTCCGAGCGAGACAGAATAACCCGTCCAAATCAATGTTAGATGCGGATGCCAACATTCGTCGGCGTATTTCCGGCTTGCTGGCGGTCGCCAAGCGTTGTTCGATGCCGCTCGAGCCTGGTTGCCGCTCGCTGCTCGGATGTGTGTCTTGAGGGCCACTGACGATGTCACAGTAGCTGAAACTCAAGCTCGAGTTGTAGAGCTCTGCTTGATTGGCTCTATCAGCAGAAAGTGGTTGCCGCCAAGGTAGTGGCTCTGGCAATCGATTGTACTCTTCAACTAGTATGTCACAAGTGTCGACTGTCGACGATGACATCGATTCCTCTTTTGCACCGGGCATCATGGGCAGTGTACTTTATCTGAGACCTGTTTGGCAATGGGGAACTTCGTAGTAAGTATGTCGTGCTTTGTGGAAACGCTCGACATCGTACGAGCCCGCACCGATAAGGCCACCCTGGTGTTTCTCGTTCATCTCGCGGGGGTGGATGGAGGGGCCTCAAGCGATGATGTTTGCCATTGTCAAGGTGGGATGCTCGAAGGATCCAACATCAAGCACAAATTGTGTTTACTTCCTTCATCGAGCTAAACCCGATCACAACTTATACCCACCAGCTCATTCATATTGTTCTAGCAAGTTCATACCCATTGTTGTCCCACGGTGGTCAAGATAACAATCCTTACGATGGGCGAGCTCGACTGCCAAGAAGACACTAGTTCATCCCTCTTGTCGCCATTCTCAAAATGTTACCTCCGCCTTCATTTGGCCCAAGACTTCTGTTGGACGCTTGGCAGTATTTGCTGCACAGAGAAAGCTCTTGCCAAGAGCTGGGAAACTTTGAACGCAAGGTCACGGCTTCGAAAGTCGGGGCTAGAGTTCGGACTACGAGCGTAAGCTAGGTGACTCTCCAAGGCGGGTCGTCTGGCTCTGGCTTGAAAGTCGAACAATGCTGAGACGACATGGTATAAAAGTCTCGTCCTCTGACCTCAGTCGAGTTCCCTAATCCAAACTGGTCCATCGGCTTCAAACTTCTTCCCGTCAATCGAAGTATCCAGTGTCTGTTACAATGCTGGCTTCTCGCTCCACCGTCCACCTCCTTCTGCTCACCTGGTTTCCTTTCTTCACTCTCATCTTTTCCGCACCTGCGCCTCCAATTGTGCCCGAATTGGCAGAAGCCGTCTCCCAGCCCGTGATCAGAGCCTACCGCAACGCCGACCATTGGCTTGTAAGACCAGAGTCCCTGCCCTCCCTCGACATGCTTCCTTCCTCGCCCACAGCCGCATCTGTCCTCGAGCGTGTTCGCAGCTTCGGTCGCTCACCCGCGAGAACCGTAGTGACACCCGACGGCAACGTCAAGATGATCAATGAAGGCTCCAGTCCCCGCCTCTTCCGTTTCGGTACCAAAGACAGAATCTACATTGTGCAGCCCGGTACCAGAGAAACCATACAGGCAGACGAGTTGACTCATCAACAGTATCACGCTTTGACCGTTTCACGGATCCCCAAGCACACTCCGATCGTATACGATGATGTCTCTGGAGGCAGATTTGCAAAGTGATCCTAGCTCTGACCTCGGTCCATCCGACATTTCGCGCCTCAGCTGTTCGAATGAAGCTGCGGCCGGTGTCCATCATTGTCAGCAAAGAAGTGTTGCCTCATTTCTGGCGAAGCCCAGATGCGTGTAGTCCCATAATTGAACATGAAACCTTTTGATGCCGTGCGTGCAGAAGAATGTACAAAGAGAAGGGCTTTTCGAGAGCGAAGCGCATCTACACGTATCGCTCCTCGAGAGCGATGCCCTCCTTCTCGAGCTCGAGACGGATAGGGTCGCAGATATCCTTGGTGTAAGGAGCAAGGATACCAGTCTTGGAAAGAGCAGGGTGACCTTCGAGGATCAGGCGGGTAGCGATGGCGCAAGGCACACCGACGAGCTTGGCCATCGACGAAACACCGTGAGGGATACCGTAGTCGAGCAAGGTCGACGTGAGCGTCTTGTGCTCGCCGTTGGCGGTCTCGATCTCGAACTTGTGCTGGAGCATGACCATGTCGCGCTCACCGGGTGCGTAGGCGCACTTCTCCTCGAGCGTAGCGCAGAGCGAGTCGAGCGGGTTGCCGGCCACCTTCTCGGCCTCCTGAGCGGCGGTGCCGCGGACAGTGACGGGAGCGGTGGTGGAGAAGAGGTCGAGCCATCGAAGACCGCGGATGATAGTCTCCTCCTGCTGAGCCGACTTGAACGAAACCTTGGACTTGACACCGGCGATGAGGTCGGTCTCGGAAGTGGACGAGGCGCCAACCATCTTGGCGGTGACCTCAGCCCACGAGGCCTTGGTGTTGTAGGCGAGGAAGGGCTTGGACTCCTCGTCGAGGAAGCCGAGCTTGACGAGAGCAAGGATGAACTCGGGGAAGCCCTGGTATCGGAGGGTACCACGGATAACGGTCTCAGCTTCGGGGATGTTGTACCACTGCTTGAAGGGAGTCGAGTCACGGTTGGGGTAGGCGACGAAGGCAAAGGCGGGATTGATGTAGAAGCTGTCGGCAGCAGCCATGAGCTCGGGGCCGGAAACGGTGAGCTCCTTGCCACTTTGCCAGAACTTGGCGGTGTTTCGGAGCGCGAGCAAAACACCACGCGACGACCACGAGAACTTGTAGCCGAGCGGGTTGTCAGCAGCCTCAGGAGCGGGCAGACCACCGCAGTAGGAGAGGAAAGACTTGATCTTGCCACCTTCGGCGTGGACATCGTCGATGGCCTTGACAGCGTAGAGGTGGTCGAGACCAGGGTCGAGGCCAATCTCGTTCATGACGGTGATGCCTGCCTTCTGAATCTCGGACTCGAGAGCACGGATGGCGTCCGAGACGTACGAGGTGGTGACAACGTTGACCTTGTGCTCGCAGGCAGCCTTGATCACAGCGGCGTGGTAGATGTAAGGGATGAGAGAGATGACAATGTCGTGGCCCTTGACGATCTCGGAGAGCGCGGCTGCATCGTTGACGTCGACGGCGGCAGCAGTAGCGTTGTGGAGGCCTTCGGTGAGGCGCTGCGAGTGCTCGATCTTGGACGAAGCAACAGTGAGGCTGTACTCGGGGAAGCGGGTCACGTACGAAGCAAAAGGACCAGCGACGTAGCCAGAGCCGAGAAGCAGGATCTTCTTGGGAGCACGCTTGGTCTTGGCGATGCCTTCGCCAGTGGGGATGACACGGCCAGGGGCGGGTGCGCCATCCTCGATGACCTTGCGAGCGAACTCGGGGACGGTGAACGCAGCCTTGTGCACCTGCGAGTTGTAGTATCGGCAGTTGGGTACTTCGCGCAGAGGCTCGCGCACGTTGCGGTTGGCGTCGAGCGAGCAGACGACGAAGCCGATCTGACCTGAAGGGTAGGTGGGGATGGTGGTGAAAGCGTAGTCGGCAACGGGGAAGAGCTCCTTGGTGGATCGACGAAGCTCGCCGATGAGGTTGAGGTGGATCCAGACACACTCGGCCTGAGTAGAAATGTGTCCTCCTGGCTTAAGGGCGCCCTTGAGAAGGGCAAAGTAGGGCTGCTGGAAGAGAGCCTCGGCGGGACCGACCGGGTCGGACGAGTCGGTGATGATGACGTCGAAGCTTGCCTTGTTCTTGGGGTCCTGGAGGAATTTGAAACCGTCGCCGATGATGACGGTGGACTTGGGGTGGGTAAGACCCTCAGCCATGTGAGGAAGATACTGCTTCGAGACACGGGGAACAGCCTCGTCAATGTCGCAGAGGACGGCCTCTTTGACCGAATCGTGCTTGACGACCTCACGGAGCACACCACCGTCACCGCCGCCGATGACGAGGACACGCTCGGGGTTGGGGTGCGATGCGATGGGAAGGTGAGCGATCATCTCCTGGTAGGAGAACTCATCGCGCTCGGTGCACTGGATGACACCGTCGAGGACGAGGACGTTGCCGAAGGTGGTCGACTCGAAGACGAGGACGTCCTGGAAGAGAGACTTTTCGTGGTGGAGGATGCGCTGAACCTCGAGGCTCATGGCCTGACCGGGCCATTGCGAGTTGGTCTCGTGGAACCATCCATCGCGGATGTTGGGGTGAGTGATGACGCCCATTTTGGTGTGTTCTGAGGAGATGGAGGAACGAAGATGGTGGTCGCAAACTACGGAGGAGCGAAATTGGCCCAGCCTCAAGCAACTCGCCCTGTCAAGAGAATGTGTCGGCTCTTTCGCATCGAGTGAACCCTGCTCTTGGCCGCACAGCAGCGGTCGGCAAAGCTTCCTAACAACGTTCCTAACCTACCTACCAAAACGTTGTGTTGCTTCGGCCACAGTAGTCCAACTGCTGTGCACAAAAATTCTTCCAAAATGTCACAACGAGCGAGAGAAAAACAATTTTTCTGCGCTTTCTTCTTGGACCGTGTCACGCTCAATTTCGGCAAGAATCCGATCGCAGCCGTTTCGGCCAGGCTCCGACAGCGCTTCCGGCGAATCGCCGTTGTCATGAAAAGTCTTCTTGCAAAACGATTATTCTTGCGATCTTACAAACACTCACGTGACGTACGCATTTGCGAAAGTGGAGCTGGAAGGGTCCTCACAGCTAACTAAGTGCGCATCTTGATACTCTCCGCACGACAAAACATCTTCTCCTCTCGACCATTCCACTTCAGCAGCCATGTCGTCGTCACAACTGCCAGACGACGGCAGCTTGCCAAACATGGCGGGCGAAGGCGTCATACCAGCGTCCTTCTTTGACATGCCCATCGAGTACGGAGCCGGCGATGCCAACATGAATATGGATTTCGGCTCGATGCCTGGCTTCCCGGCTCCCGACGCTACCATGACGGATGCATCTGACTTTGATGCGATGACTGCTCAGATCGCTGCGACTATGCCTTCACTCAATGATGCATCTTCTTTCTCGATGCCGGGGCCCTCCTATGTAGCGCAAGCACCTCAGCCATATCCATCCGGTGTACCCATCAAGATGGAGATCGACAATCCCGGCAGTTTTGCCGCCTCACCCTCTGCAACGTCAGAGTCATCGATGCACAAGCCCTCGGCACCGAAAGCGAAGAAGCCGGCCAAGCCCAAGACCGAGGGAGCAGAAGCGAAGCCCAAGCCCAAAAAGCCAAAGAAGAAGCCAGCGGATGCTTCGAACAACGATGCGGTTGCCTCTAGCTCGACTGAACAGTCGTCAAAAGATGCAGCTGCATCACCGGCACCCAAAGCGAAGAAAGCAAGCAAAAAGAAAGCAGCGGATCCGGCACAGACGTCCTCTGCTACCGCTTCACCAGCACCTTTTGCCACTCCCGCCTCGCCTTCGAAAGATGCCAAGCCGAAATCCAAAAAGGCAGGCGCATCGAGAGCAGGTGCCAAGGCCGGCGGTAAGGCGAGATCTTCCACTGCCAGATCGGCATCACGCATGTCCTCCATCGGCAGAGATGGAGCGACACCAGGCGCATCTCGCGTCAGCAGTCAGCGACCACACGACGAAGGGAACGACGACGACGAGCCGGCACCCAACCCACAAGCTGCAGCGCCGGAGGAGGACGAAGAAGGGGAAGACGAGGAAGCCGACCCGGACGACGGCGTCGAAGAGCTAGGTCGAGACCACTTCTCCACGCAGGAAGCCATCTATGCAGCACAGCAACGCAACATGGGTCTACTTTCCATGGTCATGGACGAAGATCAACTCGATCGACACATGGCTTCGCGCAGAGGCGCGTTGAACAAGACCAGCGTGCGAAAGCTCGTCAACCACGTGCTGTCGCAGTCTGTCTCGCAGCATGTGGCCATGGTGGTCTCCGGTGTAGCAAAGATCTTTGTCGGAGAGATCATCGAAAAGGCTCGCGAGATCCAATCGGTACGCGGGGAATCAGGACCACTGAGGCCGAACCATCTTCGAGAAGCTCATCGACAGTATTACTTGAAACGCGAGAGACCAGGGCATTATCCGCCGGGGACAAATGCTGGGCTCCCTGGCTTGGGCAAGAGGAGACGCCTCTTCTAGCCTGTCGCGTTGGCACTTCGCATGGTCCGGATCAGATTGTCAGTCATATTGTATTTCTATGAAACATTCGTTATTGCATTCAAAGCCAGAGTGACATTGCGACGGCGAGGGACAGTTCTCGATGAGCTTTACAATTTGGCGACCACCTTGCGTTTCTCTTTGAAGGCTTCTGCTGGCAGCTTTTTGGCCATTTCCCTCATTTCGCGACGAAGGATTTTGCCCGATGCCGTCTTGGGGACTACGTCGAGGCTATTCGGAAAGGAACCGATGTGATTTTGGCGTGCGAAAGAAGTGTCAGCACGTCGGATCTCTAGTAGGAAGATGTGTACAGATGGGAAAAGTCATGAGACTCACAAAGCGACACCGCAGAGGTGTTTGTATCTGACCTTGTTGTCGGCGACAAACTTGAGGATAGAGCTCTTGATTGCTTCCTCTTGCTCCTGGACTCGCTTCTTGGCATCCTGCGAGAGTGCAACGAACGCAAAGGGAAGCTCACCAGCAGCTTCGTCTTGAATACCAATTACTCCGCAATCCGACACGTCCGGATGATCCAGCAAGAATCCTTCCAGCTCGGCAGGCGCGACCTGGAAGCCCTTGACCTTGATCAACTCTTTCAATCTGTCGATGAAGAACACATCGCCCTCACGGCTGATCTTGACCTCGTCTCCGCTGCGAAGCCACCCGCCGGGAAGGTAAGTGTCTTTGGTGGCCTGTTCATTGTTGGTGTAGCCGAGCGTGATCTGTGGTCCTCGCAGCCACAATTCACCCAACTCGTCGTAGCCAAGTTCTTTGCCGTTGGAGTCGACCACTTTGGCTTCAGTGTTGGAGATGAGGCGACCGGCAGAGCCCATCACGGCGCGCTCGCCGACCGGCAACATGGTTGTGACGGAGCACGTTTCCGTCATACCGGAACCTTGACCCCAATCGAGGTCTGGGAAACGTTTTGTGAACTGACGACTGAGGTCGTCTGAAAGTGGTGCGGCACCGACCATGGCAAAACGGCTGAATCTACGGAGGTCGTCAAGATACGGTTCTACGCTGGGATCTTTGCAAAAGAGAACCACTTGTGGCGGGACCAGCCACCACACGCTGATCTTGTACTTGAGGATGGTCTTGATCATGGCCTCGATTCCACGGAACTTTCGCATGACGAGGTTGGCGATGCCGGCGAAGAAGACAAAATGCGAGCAAGTCGATAAGCCGAAGATATGACTCTGCGGAAGGATGCCAAGCGAGACGTCTTTGCCTGGGCAGAAGCGACCGGGAGCACCGATCTTATTGCCGACCTTGTTGTGCGCCATGGTCTGCAGCGCATTCGATGTGACAGCGTAATGTTGGATGGCTACACCCTTGGGCAAGCCTGTTGTTCCCGACGAGAAGGACAAAAAGGCGATCTTGGTCTTTCCCTCGCCAGGCTTGAGCTTGTGACGAGTGGAATCGAGGATGGCTTGACCTTTAGCCTTGACGATAGCACGGCCTTCCTCGATGAGCCCAGCGAGCGTCCAAGCGCCTTGCGACTTGCGCTGGATTCGGCCGTAGTTGGACTCGGAGTATTTGAGCACCGTCATGGGCTCCTGGATGATGATCACGCGATCCTTGGGAATGTTGGCCTGCTTTGCAGCCTCGAAACCGTTCTTCCTAGAGACTTCGTCGTCCGAGATGAAAAGCAGCTTTGAGTCGGACGCCTCAAGTTGGAAAGTCAACTCTTTCGCCAGGAAAGCCGGGTTGGCAGGCGAAAGTGTAGCGCCTATCCGGTGTGTGGCCCAGATGGTCATGAGGAAGTAGACGCTGTTGGTAGCGTAGATGCTGGCTCGAGTATCGGGTCCAAGACCGCACACCTCGGACAGAGCGACCGACAGAAGGTCGGTGATCTCCTTGGACTGCTCGAAGGTGAGCTCTTGCGCGGTCTCCTCGTCGATCAAGAGTGGCAGACCTGTGTTGCGCAAGTCTGGACGGCTGGGAGGGAAGTACTCGTACATGCATCCGTACACATCGAGATCGTCGGGGAGCTCCTTGACGGGCTCGGAGGCCGAGGTGAAGATCATCGTGGGTCAGGAGTGATGATTCGCGTTGCTGATCTTGGAAATGACAAGAGTGTTGTCGTGGAAGAAAGGTGAGAAGGACAAGAACATGCGGTGACGACCGGACATAGACGCTGTTGTTGACCCATGCACTGTTTTCCTGCCAAGCAATGCAACGGCACCCCGCACTCTGACGCAGACAGAATCCATTGCCGGCAATGTCGGAAAAGGCAGACCCTGAGTTAGACTTGTCGAGAGCCGCTCGCTCACTGTCCAATCGTCGGCCTTGTCCTTCTCCGCAAAGCTGGTCAGGTCCGCGGGACCGGCTAACCTGGCCAGCGAGAATTCCCCGCAAAGTTGGATTTTGGCGACCGAATCTTGTGTTTGATCAGCTTTTCTAGATGGTCTCGACTTGGTGCTTGGCGACATCAGCAGAAGCATCGCCGATGGTCGATCGGAGGTCAGACAAAGCGATCGTTGCCTACACTCGGTCGTCGACATCCCCCAATATTCAATGATACCGCACTGGTGGGTAGCTCGGCAGCAGGGCCTCGGCCACGACTCGCTTGGCAAGCCCGCCGGACATCTCTTCAGTTTCGCAAGGTCTACAGATCCTCGAAAGCGACGTTTTCCTGCTTCCTGCTAAAGTCTAGATTCGTAGACGACACTCTTTCAACCAAGCAGGGTCTGTCGCACCAACACAAAGCATGGTGCGAGCACGCCAAGTGTTGATGGCAAAGCTCGCCAAAAATTACAGCAGCGGGAAATGCGTATTTGCGCATCTCCGCACGAGCCAGAACAAAAATCCGAGAGGACCCCAACGGGAACGCCGTGTGCTGTCGGTTTGTGCCAAGTGAAAGTGCGGGGTACAGCACAATTTTGACGCGCTTCCTCTCCGCACTTGCATTTCCTGCAGCATGCGACGTCGGAATGGCGCACGAGCAACGTCAAACGTTGTTTCCGATGATGAACCCTGTAGCTGCGAGCCAGCTGTGGCTTACCCCTTCGACCAACTACCTGGTCCATGAGCTGCGTCTCGCAAGAGCATTTGAAGGTGATTACAATCAGAGGAAAGCAAGTACAAGCACGGGTCGTGGCAAAGGTGTCACAACACAGCCAAGCGAGTGTGTCCCAATGTCAGTAGGGTGCTCGGTTGAACCTAAGCTTCCTTCGGCGAACCATGTTCGGTGTCTCGTCCTTGACGCATTTACCGATATTTCGGACCCTGACAGAGCCAGCACACTCCTGCTTCTGTCTAGTGCGGGCAGCAGAGCGAGGAAGTCATCACAATGCTACTACACTGTATCTTTACCCCGCACTTCCGTCTTCGCCTCTATGACTGCAGCAGTGGCGCTTATCGTGTGCCGTCTGCCACATGCCTAGCTGTACACCATGCACGTCTTCAGATCAGATGACCCACCCGAACTCTCCTGTGCGGAATACCGCATCTTGCCCTCTTGCGGCTTAACCTGTGCTCTGACTCCGCAGGCTATTCTGTCGGCTAACGCCAAAAACAAGCGCGCGTCGAGTCTGTCTGCACTGCGACTTTTTCTTTGCCTGCTCCTCCCACACTCTATCCCACCAGAAAATCGTTGTGGACACGGTACGGCTACTCGGCTGTGTCTCGGCAGGCTGCCGCCCACCAACACTCGGTGAGCTCTAGATTGTGACGATGTGAAGCTTGTCTGAGGTGACTTGTTTACTCACAGGCGAACTGTATAAAATCACAGCTCGTGCTTACAGTAACCCCCCATCGATCGCTCGAACATACCTTTGCGTGTTCATCCGCTCCTACCTCTTCTCAACCATCTCATCACCATGACTGAACACTACGATGCTGTCGTTGTTGGAGGCGGCTTTGCCGGTATCTACCACCTTTACATGCTCCGCAAGCTCGGCTTCAAGGTCCACCTCTACGATGCTGCTGCCGACTTTGGCGGCATCTGGAGACTCAACTGCTACCCCGGCGCACGCGTAGACAGCGAAGTGCCACTGTACGGTCTCTCGTTCCCAGAGGTGTGGAGATCGTGGAACTTTTCCTGCAAGTATCCTGACTACAAGGAGCTCCGTCAGTACTTCAACCACCTCGACGAGAAGTTGCAGCTTCGCAAGGACTGCAGCTTCAACCACCGTGTTCACAGCGCTCACTGGGACGATGCCGCCCAGCAGTGGACAGTCACCGCAGGACCGAGCAAGGACAAGACCGTCACCGCCACTGCTCAGCACGTCATCTTTTGCCTCGGCTTCGCCTCCAAGGTCAACATCCCCAACATCCCCGGCATGGACAAGTACAAAGGCCAGATCATCCACACCGGCGAATGGGAAGAGTCCATCGACTGCACAGGCAAAAAGGTGGCCGTCATCGGGACAGGCGCTTCGGGCATCCAGGTCAGTCAGGAGATCGGACCTCTCGTCGATCGTCTGACCGTCTTTGTCCGCACTCCCAACCTCGCACTCCCCATGCGTCAGCAGAAGCTCGACGCAAGCGCACAGGAAGCATTCAAGGACATCTACCCCGAGATCTTTGACAAGCGCAAAAAGACCTTCGGCGGTTTCCACTACGACTTTGACCCTCGTGCTACCCTCTCAGTCTCTGACGAGGAAAGGCAGCAAGTCTTCGAGGAGCTGTGGGCGCGCGGCGGCTTCCACTTTTGGCTCGAGACCTTCCACGACCTGTATGCAGATAAGGCTGCCAACAAGACCGCCTACGACTTCTGGCAGAAGAAGGTCGAACAGCGTATCCAGGATCCCAAGAAGCGAGAGATCCTCTGCCCCAAAGAGTGGCCCCACACCTTTGGCACCGTTCGACCGTCGCTCGAGCAAAACTACTACGAGGTGATGAACCAGGACAACGTCGAGATCGTGTCCATCAAGCGAGGTGGCGATGAGGGCATCAAGGAGCTAACCGAGAAGGGAGTGCTGCTCAATAGTGGCCGAGAGGTTGAGTTGGACCAGATCATCCTCGCAACGGGCTTCGATACCCATACCGGTGGCTTCAAGCAGATCGACATCCGCGGTAAGGATGGTCTTCCGCTCACGGAGAAGTGGTCGCAGGGCTGCAACTCGCTCAACGGTCTCAACACTAGTGTAAGTCAGCAGCGTAGACTGTGCCATGGTATCGTCTTCATTGTGATTATTGTCACTGACCATTTCCTTCGAGGTCTGCTGCCATCGCACAGAAATTCCCCAACCTCTTCTTCCTGTACGGTCCACACGGACCTACCGCCTACTCGAACGGACCATCTACGGTGGAGGTGCAGGCGGAATGGGTGTGCGAGTTCATCAAGTACATGCGAGACAACAAGATCGCCTCGTTCGACGTCCAGGGCGAGGCGGAGGCCAAATTTGGAGAACACATCAACGAGCTCTCTGCCAAGACGCTCTTCCACGAGAGTCACGGTTGGTACATGGGTCGAAACATCCCAGGCAAACCGGTGCAGGCTTTGAATTTCACCGGAGGCATTCCGATGTACGTCACCGAGCTCGCCGAGTGCAAGAAGCAGGGTTATGCCGGCTACGACCTCGTCAAGGCTTAGTGACAAGCGTTCAGAGATGCGAATGTACAGACATTTACTACTTTGAAAGATGAATGCGATTTCTTTGAACACGAAATGATTGGAATGAAGCTATACTACTTGTACAACTCGGGATAGATCTGCTGGTGAAGTGCAAAACGCCAGGCATAAGCTTCCTCGGCCGTGTCGAAAGTCCTTGAAGTGATCTTGTGCGGCCAGACTTTTCTGTTGTTAACGTAGCCCTTGAACTTCCCATCGGGTTTTTGAACGACTCCACGAAATCCCAACTTTGACTCCTTCGTGACGTTCATCGCATTCACCACAATAGGAACGATGCGTAGGTTAGCCCTCCGATTGTCCAGCTTGTTCTCGTTCCTATGATCCATGTGGTGCGTGCGAGTGTTGTACGGGTCCAAAAGAACAGACCGGTGAAGATATCTGTTCAAGAACCTTGGGTACCCGTCCTTTGCAACAGAGATCTTATTGCGGTACATCTTCATGTAGATGTCGTCGTCGACCAGAACCTTCTCCCCGTTCAAGGCAGTCAGGTAGGCAATATTTCCGTCCGTAGTCCTTGGAATGACGACCGCTGCATCCTCTTCCTCCTTCTTCCTGTCGTACTCTGCGATCGCTGCATCCACGCGAGCCTGCCCCTCTTCCTTCGTCTTGAAGTAACCGAGATGAGTCGACCGGAAAGTGGCCTGCCAAAGTCCCGACACGTGAAGCGACAGACCTCCCAACCCATAGACACCACGTTTTTCGTTCCGTTTCTCCATGCCCCGAATAGCCGCCTGCATCTCTTTCACCGTCGGCTCGAAGACCGACTCTCTCTCCTCCCACTTCTTCCCTTCTCCTCGAGCAACAAGACTGCGAGCCGTCTTTGCAATCCGAGCCGTATCGAACGTACCCAGCTGCTTCTTTCCCCACTTCGCGTAGAACTTGCCGGTCTTGGTCTTCCTGACACCGACAAAGTATTCGCTTTGTTTCTTGCGGGTGACGTTCATCGCGTTGAATGACTGGCTGACCGCACGAAGGTTCGTGCGGACGTTGTTGAGCGGTCGCTGGTCGGCGTGATCGATCACCATGTCTGTGACCAAAATCAGAGAACAAAAGGAGAGCGTCAATTAAAAGAATTCGCTAGAAAGCATACTGAAAAGAGCAACTTACTGGCGGGAACCTCGTCAGGAAAGACGAAGCGGTGAAGCTGCAGCTTCTTGTTGTAGAAGTCGCCGGCAGCAAGCTTCCCGAAGATGTAGACGCGGCCTTCATTGATGTAAAGGCCGTACTTTTCCTTGTCGAAAACGTAGGCATCGACAGCCGAAACAGTCACCTCGTAATCGACACCTTTGGCAGTGACAATCTGAGAGACCGAGTCGACTTCGACGATCTGGGCGGGGGCGCAAAGCATGGTCGGAAAGAGAGCCTGTTGGGGGCAAAGTTGGCGAGACGAGGGAGCTGGGCTGGTAGAGACGGGGCGTGGGAGAGACGATTGAGATTGGTATGCTGAGAAGATTCAAAGTCGGTCACGACGGGCAAGGTTTATATCCTTTCAGACCACCTGCGACGGACTCGTATGTGAATCAAACGTTTCTACAGCAGACAACAAGCATTTGCACAGCCAAAGTGAGCAAAGCTATAGCGAAACCTTACGAAAGAAGTGTGTTGAGCGTATCTTTCGAAGCGACGAACAGACCATCAGAGGCATACCGGCAGTCATCGCTGTTGAGGATTGCCGTCGATGCCCTCTTTTTTCCTGTCACGGTAGCATTCACAACCCTCATTCTTGGTCTATCGGCCTCTCACAGCGCACGTATCATAGCAACCGAAAGCCTCATTCAGCCCAAGGAAGTCTTTTGATGCACAGAAACGACGATGACATGACATGCTCGAGACTGTGCTGTGCAATACATGCTGGTACCGGGAGGCTGAGCGACAAAATAACAGTCATGGCATCCTCAAAGTTGTGCAACGATGGCGTTTTTTGCATGGAACAATCACTCGAAAAGGACCGCCGTCTGTACGCCGACAGCAAAGCCCGGCAATGGCGTTTGCATTGCGTCGTTGCCATGGCGTACGCCGGAAGCGATCACCATCGATACGCCGACATCAAAGCCCAGCGGTGGCGGTCTGCATTGCGTCGTTGCTATCGAGTACGCTTGGCGATGCACACTCTGAAGCCTCTTTTCACGCACCGCAAAATGGCCCAAAGCCGACTATTTTGCTCGCTTAATGTCGTCCAGATAGGAATCAAAGCAGTCTCTCAATACTTCACTGGCTCAAGGCTGCAGAAGAGTGTGCGCTTCACGGCAAACGAGAATTCTGACCTCACAATCAACGAAACGCCGTGTTGCACGAAAGACTTGCTGCACAGCTTTCGCGCATCGGAATGGCGTTTTCGCTCACTTGAGCGCTGCTGGTATCACGCTTTCAGCTGCCGAACGGTTCAAGACGATGCATTGAGCGGTATGTGACACACCTTGCTGTTTCCCAGCCTGCTCGTGACACCGGATCGGCGACCGGCCCGACTGTCACCGTTTTTCTCGCGCGGCCTTCGTTGATGCAAGCCTCAATTCATCTTTCACACACTCATGCAGCCTGCGAACAAGTTGATGCGGATCTGAGCGCCAAGATAGCATTGCAACGTGATGCTACAGTACAACGAGCGATCACAATTCACGACAAGCTTCTGTACGACATTGCACAAAGTGACAGCGAGGACGCGCTTCTACGCCGGCGCTGAAGCGGAGCGCCATTTTCCCTCCACCCGGGTCATTTTTTTCTGCATAATTTCATGTTCCCGAAATGCCGAAGCGAAAAATAAAATACAACATCAATTTGCCGCGCACCGCGTACGAGCGCCTCGCAGTTGCTAATCGTGCCGCGCGGGCGCGTGCAGAGCGGCAATCCATGCAACAGTGGCGCCTGAGAGTCTCGAATGTGTGCTCTTAGAAAGTGAAAGCCGAGGCAATGTCGGCCATTTCGCCGGAAAGGCAAGCCAGAGTGCCGATCCAGCTGTCTCAAGGGTGAACGGAAAATTTCGCCCAAGCCGAGATCTCTTCCCCGGATCGTCGCGTGGCTGTATGCGCCCAAATTAATATTTTTTAGAGCAATTTTCGCTGGAATCCGACGAAGCGATTTTGGACATGGAGGCGCCTTGGCATGTACAGCGGCGATTCAAGCAATTGTGGCTTCAAATGCACATGCGATGTGATTGCAGCGAGAGTTCCGTGACAATTGCCAGCAACCAAGTTTGAAAGTCGGTCTCACTGTCCGTTTCGACGTCTCACGGGTGAGCGAAAATGTTTCCCCCCCGAGATTTTCTCCTGCCAAAAGTTCGTCGCGTGGGTGTATGCGCTCTAATTTTAATTTTAATTTTCCGCGCTTCTCCGCGGAAAGTGGGGTCCATCATGCAAGCCTCGTCGCCGGTATCGTGTGTCGACGGTGATGAGCATCGTATGTGTTTCTCATTTGGTCCGAAGGTGGCTCTTCCACGTATGTGCTTGAGTGTCGTGCAGCATGACAACGGCGCTGCTGCGCCTTCAGCCACCAGCCACGAAACTGAGCAAACGTGTCAACCTCTGTGCATTCTGATTGCTTTCACGGGCTCGACGGATGTTGGTGCTCGACAAATGATGGTGCTCGACGAACGATGGTGCATGTACCGAGACTTCTCATTGGTAGAGAAACGTCTCAAGCTGCGCTGTCAGCGACATCGCTGGCAAATCGTTGCGAGAGTCTGTCGGTATTCGCTGTGTCGTTTGGCCATTGTGTTGAGAGAATCGCCTCATTGGTACGAAGTGCTGACCTCGCTTTCTCAGTATGAGCCTCAGAGCCTCGGGTTGCACGCTACGAAACCCTCCTGTACAATGTGAGAGGATGTATATATTGCTCGTTGTTTGTGCTATCGAAACGACCTTGACCAGTGTACATCCGTCAAGACCCCCGCCCTCGCATCACCACCACCACCACCACCACTCGCACCACGCCATGGCCGCCCCACTCGGACACCGTCAGCTTCGTCGCTACCGCGACTA